CTTAATCCTTGTCTGAAGTCAGTTTCCTATCGCCCGCGCGAAGCGCGGAAGCTTTGACCTTTCATAAATTATTACAGAAAGAAGACGATTCGTTGTACCGTTTTTGACTCTTTGTCCTTGTCTGAATTAAGTTCCCCCCCCCTCTCGCGCAAAGCGCAGAAGCTTTGATGTTTCATTAAATTATATTAGAAAAAGAAGAAGATTCGTTGTACCATTCTCGACTCTTAATCCTTGTATGAATTCAGTTTCGGCCCCCCTCCCAAGTGAAGCGCGGAAGCTTTGACATTTCATTTAATTATTAGAGAAAGAAGATGATTCGTTGTACCGTTCTCGACTTGTCAGAATTTTCAAAAATGTTTTCTTGTCTGCTCCTTTTTCGTCCTCTTACTGCCCCTACCACCCTTGGCTACGCGCCTGCTTTAAAGGGAAAATGAAACAATCATGACTGTAATAGCACACAATTACATGTAGGTCAGTAGAAATGAACGGGAAAAAAAGAAAGATCTATAACACCAACCATGGATAAATCACGCCCGGGAGCGTCAGATCATAGTTTTGTGTTATCGGGGGAGTAGCGGCCAAGCGAGATTTTGCAATGTTGAATGCTTAAATTATGCATTCTAGAAAATCCCTAAGCCCAATATGTACGTTCTTTCCGCTATATTTTTTTGGAGCTATATTTCTAAATTTCCTGGGGGACATGTCCCCCTATCGGGCCAGGATTGCCGCCCCTGTCCATGATTACTACGAACATGAGTTCAAATACAAGAACAAGTGAGTCAGTATAAGTTGCATTTAAATGAAGGGCAAAATAAGAGTTGTAAAGTGGCCCTACCGTTAATTTCAAATTATATGAGTATATAGCTTCTATTTAAAAGACATCCAAAATATGGTGCCCTTTTCAAATTGCTCACCAAAGAGTGATGACCTTTGTAGCGCAGGGGCTGTTTTTAACGTTTAACTTTGAATCCGTGGCTCGAGATTTTATGCGGCCGACCCGGCCCCCTCTATTCACGAACGTTTGTCAAGCCTTCTGGAATGACCCCAAATCTCCCGATTACAGTTTTCCCTTATTCGTCGTTACTGAGTGTAGCGTCATTTCCTTTTCTTTCCCCCTTTCTCACCTGACTTTTCTCTTCCCCCATTTTTGTGTATTACGGGCCGGACTTTGTTGGGAGATTTTGGGAACAAAAATTCGGTCCCTCCGACCCCGGAGTGAAAGGGAAGGGGGGGGGGGGGGGGGGCGTTCTTCGTGTTATTTTCTACTTTTTTTCTCTCTCTCTCTCTCTCTGTTTCTTTTCTCTTCTTTCTTTTCTTTTCTCTTCTCCTTTTTTTCTTCTCTTCTCCTTTCTCTTTTTCCCTCTTCTTTTCTTCCTCTTTTTTTCCTTTTTTTTGCGCACAGAATTCACAGAATCTAACGAAACTTACACTGAATGTTCAAGATTACAAATAAATGTCATGTGCGAAACAATTTTGGAAGAAAATGTATACTGGCTGAGTAATGAGCATAGAAAGATAAGGAAATCAGGGTAGTACTAGCCCCGACACCATGTGTGTTGTCCCATATACATCTTTCTGTGTAAATGATTGTTACTTTACCAAGACTCTGCCAAATTTATGATGATTTTGATGACTCCAGAACCTTGCATTACACACCATTACTTACATGCTATATGATCAACTTTTCTGATCCATTCCACACCTTTTCTTTCACAATGCAATCGCATTACCAGAACTCAAGTTTATCTTTAAATAGAACCAAAGAGGATCTCTTTGATAGAACATTGTTTATCTTATAAAGCGCTGAAGTGTGGCCTCATACAGACCAATTAGGTGTCAAGGTTGATGTTTTTAAACAATGTTTGTACTATAAACAATCACACCAGTGCCAAACACTGAATTTGCCCTGCTCCACCCTGCTGCTTATATGATTTTTTAGTGAACCTTGATCATGCAGAGGCTCTGTTGTGTGGAACAAGTAACCTGGACAGTGAGCGAATGTGACATGAGCACTTCAGAACGTTATGTCAAAAACCTCTACTGAACATCTATTTTAACAACAGACAACTTTGTCTAACTTGAACAGTTACACAATCTAAATGACTAGCAAAATTAACATTTAAAATAATAATTGTTCATCAACAATTCCAATGGGCTCACTCATTAATTTTCATATTGACCTTTGAACCTACTCATACACCTTTTCACATCCAATTCCAACTTCAATATTCTAATCTATTCTCTAATTAAAAACTGAATGCAATTAATATCAATTAACTTACCAATTTAGGTCTTGCATTGACACACATTGAATAGATAGCCATTTGTTCAAATGATGTTTACGGAACATACATGTATGACAATCTTCAATTTCAAAGGAAAACATTTCAGACAGCTCTTAATTTGCTCTGACATCCAGCAGAAATAAACAAGTTTAAAAAAGTATCTGTATTGAAAACCATTATTATTGTAATTAATGTCTAAAGAACTTTAAATATAGGTCTAGAATAATATGCATACAATCAAATTACTCCTAATCCCGTCCTCCCAAGCAATAATTTTGATACATTTAAAAAAAACACTTCTGCTGAGATTTCCCCAATCAGTTTGTTTGAAGACAAAATTGATAAAAGAATACATAGGCCTAATTTGGGTTTTCTGTTGTACGTCTACGCAGAAAACCTATATTTTGTATTCTTTCAACAATATTCGACTTCAAACACATTGGTTTCAAAAATCCTTGCAGAAATGTGTCTCAAACGACATCCTCTAAGAGAAAGAGGGTAGACTAACCTTAGACCGAATTTTCCGTCTCTTTCGTTCGTTAGCCTCTTATTGGGGTAGGGTCGGCCGGCTCTCTCTTTAGAGACGGAAACCGTCTATACACATTCCCTTGATAACGCCACGGCCATTTCAGGTCGTAGCGTTTTGCCCCCAAAATCCCCCAAAATGTCATTTTACCTCGTGCATGTTATATTGTAAATTAGGTCTAGGCTATAATAAATCAGTTCCACTTACCAACTTTACTGAAATAATCAGTTTAATAGTCCCTTTTTAGGAATTTATGGGTCAAAATCGAAATCCATGTTGAAAAAGATTTTCAAAATGGATTTCGATTTTGACCCATAATTTCCTAAAAAGGGACTATTAAACTGATTATTTCAGTCAAGTTGGTAAGTGGAACCGATGTATTATAGCCTAGGCCTAATTTACATGTGGATATGCACGAGGTAAAATGACATTTTGGGGGATTTTGGGGGCAAAACGCTACGACCTGAAATGGCCGTGGCGTTATCAAGGGAATGTGTATAGACGGTTTCCGTCTCTAAAGAGAGAGCCGACCCTACCCCAATAAGAGGCTAACGAACGAAAGAGACGGAAAATTCGGTCTAGACTAACCTTAGACCGAATTTTCCGTCTCTTTCGTTCGTTAGCCTCTTATTGGGGTAGGGTCGGCCGGCTCTCTCTTTAGAGACGGAAGCCGTTTATACACATGTCCTTGCTAACGCCACGGCCAGTCCTGGTCGTAGCGTTTTGCCCCCAAAATCCCCCAAAATGTCATTTTACCTCGAGCATGTTATATTGTAAATTAGGCCTAGGCTATAATAAATCAGTTCCACTTACCAACTTGACTGAAATAATCAGTTTAATAGTCCCTTTTTAGGAAATTATGGGTCAAAATCGAAATCCATTTTGAAAATCTTTTTCAACATGGATTCCGATTTTGACCCATAATTTCCTAAAAAGGGACTATTAAACTGATTATTTCAGTCAAGTTGGTAAGTGGAACTGATTTATTATAGCCTAGGCCTAATTTACAATATAACATGCTCGAGGTAAAATGACATTTTGGGGGATTTTGGGGGCAAAACGCTACGACCAGGACTGGCCGTGGCGTTAGCAAGGACATGTGTATAAACGGCTTCCGTCTCTAAAGAGAGAGCCGACCCTACCCCAATAAGAGGCTAACGAACGAAAGAGACGGAAAATTCGGTCTAGACTAACCTGAGCTTGAGCTTGTTGAAGGTAAATTCAAACTCTCACTTTCTTGCAGTTGATCAAGAGAATTCACAGAGTCATACAGATCATCTGAATCATCATTCTTCAGCAACGAGAACTTAATCTCCTTCATCATATTCATGGCTTTCATTGTTTTTCACTTCAGCAAAAGTTTTAGATCTTAAAGTTCACAAGCAACCATCTAACGTATGAAAGACCATCGTCTTCTGCTGACATGCATGTAGAGTACAGAAAACGGTTAATCGCTCAAGCTCAAGTATGGCCGTGGCATGGCAAGGGCACCCCTGGTCTGACAGGTTTGGCCCCGTGCAGCCCTGATGACTCTCTCAAGCTCTGCTGGATGGCCTATGCCTATGCCATGGTACGTGCGCGCATGTGACCGAGATGAAGCGCAAAGGAGGCCGGAGGAGGGGCATGTCGAGAGAGACAGACAGCATTGGTAGAGCTTAGACTCTTGAAAAAAAAATAGTATACGACCAAGTAAGCTATGTACTTTATTTAGACTCAAACCAGGCATGGGTGGCGATGGAAACTTTACTGTTTGAACTTCTACCTCACTCAGCTCCTCATCTCCGTGTCATATTGGCAGGGTACGGCATCGCTTTTGTCCCAAAACAGTGCGTAGCAGACGACCCCAAGCTGCAAGGAGTTCTCGAACATCACCGCCAGAACTTCGGTGACGTTGACCTTTCCCGCTGTCGTCGGGCAGAGCCAAGCGAGAGCGGTGGTGAGGCTGATCCAACGGACGATGTAAATGCGCGATTCAATCGTGTGTACGTCACATTCGCTTGAGCGATTTATGTTCATTTATGTAAATCTACGTGATTCTATTGGTCGTTTCATGTTTACTGATCGATTTCGTAAACAAGGGTTCCATCCTTAGTCACTACGATTGGACCTTTAATTTACACATTGTGTTGTACACGCCATAGATTAAATAAACATTAAAAAAATATTAGCGAACGAGGTTAAAGACACCGGCCTAATTAATGTAAAGTCCACGTGAGTTAAGATCCGAGAGGAGGGAAAATTACCGATTGAACTCAACTAGGTTTAGATCTCAAGAGTAGAAATTAGTAATGCAAAAATTTTCAGGAAAAAATCTTTCGAAGTTTAAGATAACTCGTATATTTTTGATAATTCATAATTTGTAGGGTACTACTTTTTTCACTCTGTGCGTGATGATACTGGCGCCTATGCAGCCAGTAGGCTCCGCGCTGGAAAGCGGGCGCGGAGGAAGCGGGTCGGGACCCGAGAGCGTTGGGGCGAATCAAGAAGTTACAGAGACAGCCATCATGGACGCAGAAAGTAAGTGGGCAGTGAAATTTCGTATTTTTGCTCAATGTATTGAAATATCTTGAATGCATTATTGCCAAAGTATGGTGTATACTTGTGAGTTTATTCGTGTTATATTAATTTTCTAAATCTATTGAGCATTTTTCTGTTCTGGGTGGATTTATGAGCCGATTCAGCAATCAAGATGGCCGGGTAAGTCCCGGGTAATGTTAGCATAGGAACCCGCTCATCAGCTTTTGTGCGTTGAAGTTCCGGTATGGAAATGTTCATTTTTCTCGTCCTTTTGTTTGAAATTGCAATATATTGCGACGTTGAATATATCTATTATTGTGTAGCTACCATTGATAATTGTTAGTTTTTGTAAATGCCTGAAAAATGTCGAGATAGGGGCGTGGGAATATTGATGTTCTTCCATGAATTTGTTAATGAGCAAGCAAGTTCGATTAACGCACGCGGCGTGTGTAGCGGCGCGGGCGTCGCCCCACGCTGGCGGGTCGTGAAACCCGTGACTTGATCAAATTCCCGGGCTTCTCTGTGTGCGGGCTGAGCTTGAAAGCTCGGAGTGCTGCGGCATGGTCGCCGCAATCGAACGAGCTGTTTATCAGCCATGTCGCAGCCGTTTCTATTTGAATGCCAGGCTGTGGCAGCCCCCGGGCGGGCGGGGCTTACTCCTATAGCGCGATGGCTGTGACGTGAATAGAATATCCTTGTGCTGTTTTTCATACGTGCTAGCTGTGTTCGCGAATGTTCTCCTTTTGCGGAATGCGACATCCAAATTTGACCGCCCAAAAATATGCGTAGTTTAACATTGCAGCAATATTTGCAACGCATTTTCTAGCGTTGTTTTGTGAGATTTTGTTACATTGTTGGAAATTGACCAGTGTGTATTTTTGTGGTCACTACTGCCCAGTCTCCGGGTCCACCAGGCGGTGGGATGATGGCACCGTTCTGGCGGTCATGAACCCACGCTGTTTACTGGGGCACAGCTAAGATTTTTTACTCGATCTCGATCAAGGGGGGTTGGCCAAGATTTGAGAATTAATTTATTTTCAACTCCAGACTCACTTCAATTGATCCCAACAGCTAGAAATCAATCAATATATGTGCATCTACATCCCTACTCGATCAGTCTCTGGTTGTTTTGTTTTGTGTTGTCTTTATTTCCATAGCAGACATTTTTAAATTCTTCTTGCCATGTTCTGTTTACAATTACAGTTTGGTAACTTTGATTAATCTCTTGTCATGTCATACTTGTTCATGAATTCATTTCTGAAAGCTTAAATATTTTTTAAACAAAACAGTTTCATACTAAACACTTCGGTTTACAATGTAAATCATTAAGCCTTTCAAATACAATATGTTACACAATTTTTTTTAATTTCCTCTCCCAACTCTATCAACTGGGACTTTTTTTTATTCTCTTCTTGCTGGGGCTTTTTCTTGCATTTTTCATTTGTTTGTTTTCTTTATTTAATTAAGTTAACAGCTCTTAAAGCTTTACTTAAATTAAGGCCATTGAAAAGAAAACATTAGCATCCTGCCTTTTTGAAAAAAATAGGAAGGAGGAGGCTGTTTTTTCTTCTTCTTCTAAATGGTTGCTTGGTACTTTTTCCCTGACAGTCTGGCTATTTTTCAAGATGGCCGCCAGCATTTTTTTTTTTTTTTAAATCAGAAATTGATCATTTTAGCAATATGTTTTTCATGAACATTTATTTATTTAAAAAAATTTAACAAAGGAGAGGCCCACCCCCCCCCCCCCACAAAAAAAAAGTCCCAGTTGATAGAGTCGGGAGAGGAAATTAAAAAAAATTGTGTAACATATTGTATTTGAAAGGCTTTTTTAATGGCCTAACAAATTTTGCGATGAATTTTTAATATTGATTGGCCAGTCTCATCAGATTTCTGTTAATTATATTGTTACCAGTATTCTCTTGAGACTATTGTCAACCTTTTGTCTATTTCCTGTAGAGGTAGATATCTGCAAACTCTTGGATGTATGCCCATTTCATAGTGTTGAAATTGTGTTCCTCATCTTTATGATTGGATGCATTATTATTTCCTTGTTTACTATTGACACTGTTTTTTTTGTTTTTTTTTGCAATAGCAACTGTTAAAGAAGATAGAATGTTCTGTTCAATTGCAAAGTATTTTTTTTATCAATTTTACATTTCTGTATTATATTTGCTATCTTGTTTGTTTTCCCTTCTAATACTTGCTTGGATATATTCTTCTGTCCTTGATTATGCTGCACCCCTTTTTAAACTTTATTTTTATGCCTCTGCCACCGAAGGTGGTGCCGGAGGCATCATGTTTTCGGGTTGTCCGTCCGTACGTCCGTACGTCCGTCCCGTTTGACCGTTATCACAATATCTCAAGAACCATTTAAGATTTAAACTTAAGACTCGGGAATAGTATTTATCACCATAGGAAGACGATCTGATTAGATTTTGGAGTACGTAGGTCAAAGGTCACAGGCCACAGAGGTCAACTTATGAAATTCCTTGTATTGAGTTTGTTAGCGCGATATCTCAAGAACCATTTGAGATTTAAACTTAAAACTTAAGGATAGTATGTATCACCATAGGAAGACGATCTGATTAGATTTTGGAGCACGTATGTCAAAGGTCAAGGGTCACAGAGGTCAACTTATGAAATTCCATACATTGAGATTGTTATCATGATATCTCAAGAACCACTGGAGATTTTAACTTCAAACTTAGTGATAGTGTGTATCACTATAGGAAAACAATCTGATTACATTTTGGAGCACGTAGGTCAAAGGTCAACTTATGAAATTCCATACATTGAGATTGTTATCATGATATCTCAAGAACCACTAGAGATGTAAAAACTTCAAACTTAAGGATAGTATGTATCACCATAGGAAGACGATCTGATTAGATTTTGGAGCACGTAGGTCAAAGGTCAAGGGTCACAGAGGTCAACTTATGAAATTCCATACATTGAGATTGTTATCATAATATCTCAAGAACCACTGGAGATTTAAACTTCAAACTTAATGATAGTGTGTATCACCATAGGAAGACAATCTGATTAGATTTTGGAGCACGTAGGTCAAAGGTCAAGGGTCACAGAGGTCAACTTATGAAATTCCATACATTGAGATCGTTATCGCGATATCTCAAGAACCACTGGAGAATTTTCACTTCAAACTTAATGATAGTATGTATCACCATATCATAATATCTCAAGAACCACTGGAGATTTAAACTTCAAACTTAATGATAGTGTGTATCACCATAGGAAGACAATCTGTTTAGATTTTGGAGCACGTAGGTCAAAGGTCAAGGGTCACAGAGGTCAACTTATGAAATTCCATACATTGAGATTGTTATCATGATATCTCAAGAACCACTGGAGATTTAAACTCCAAACTTGTTTAAATTGCTCTATGGCGGAGGCATCATTTTCGACTGCGCGCAGTCAAAATTCCATCTAGTTTATGTTGCTTCTGTAAGTTTGTAATTTATATCAAATATATGATTTGGTTTGACAAAGTAAAAGTTATGATACCAAGTTTTACATAAAAAAGGCATTTGTACTGAATTTGTAGTTTTTACATGATTTGTCGAATCTAAATCAGTCAGTCAGATATGGCTCCAAAATGTTCATTATGATGACTAATTATTTCAGTCTTGTATGTTTTTGTAAAAATTGATTAAAATCCTAAAAGTGTTTTTGTATGTCAATTTGTGTATCCCATACATGTACATGTATATGCTTTTCACACTGGCAATATTTTCCTTAACCCCGTACTATAGGTGGGGTTAAGGGGGGGTCTTAACCCCACCTATAGTACGGGGTTAAGCCTATTCCACTTTCTGTTCAGACTGGTTTTTTACCAAAGTGGGCTAAAGTTGGCTAACCCCACCTATAGTACGGGGTTAACTAACCCTGCAAAATAGCAGGGCTAACTCCGCAATTGTGGTGCTAACTCCTGCTAACCCCGCAATTGCGGTGCTAAGCAAATGAATGAGAACAGAAACGAAAATAGTCTGGTACTACGCAATGGAGCGTATCGCAGCTGGCCAGATGCGAGGTATGTCCAATCATAACATACATGTACATGATATCCGGGGTTAACGAAATGCAGTGAGAACAGCGGGAATTTTCTTATTCCGGAATAGGCGCTAGTACGGGACTAAAAACAGCGAGTGTGAAAAGCCAAAAAAATAGTCCGGGGTTAAGGATAGTACGGGGCTAAGCAAAACCAGTGTGAAAAGAGTAGTAGTTGCCCTTTCAGGGCCAGGGCAACCAACCAGGGTGCAGGCAAAAGTCAGCCCAAAAAGAGGGGGGGGGGGGGTACATATACAAAGTAAAAAATAAAGAGTCATCTTTAATGTACTCTTTTGTATGGGATAGCATGGTTATGAAAGGAAAAATCAAGATGAAAGTCTACATTTTGTTTTGGTTTTTAACTTTGATTAATTATACATTTTTAATAACCATTGGGGGATGGACATTTTCATGTATGTCAAAGGTCATATTGGAGTCGGAGGTCAATGGCCATAATTACATAGACATGAAGATATTAGGTTTGTCCTTGTTTAAACATTGTTACTAATAATAGCTTTCTTAAAGTGATGTTCATATAAGGATTTTGACACCACTTTGGCACCTTATAAAATAGTGGTCATGCTTTTTTCGTATTTTGGGTCTGGGTATGCTGATAAAATTATTAAGTTTCAACTTGGTGCTAAAGTCTAATAATCTGAATTTTGCTTGCAAACCGGTTTTGAGGTAATGCCTGTCCCATTTGGCTTATTATTATCAAACTTAGCATGAATTGCCTATGGGTGATATTCATCCTAAAATATGTGGGGGTGGGGGGTGGGGGGGGGGGGGGGGGGGGGGGTGGGCGAGCAAGGAGCAAGACAACTAGTGCCACTTGACATGACAAGGAATATTCCTATTTAGGCTTAAACACTAATGACATGTTTTGCAATCAATCAAAGAAAGAATCATGTATGATTGATTTCAATCCACATACATTGTCCTTGTTTTATATCTCCAGGTGCAAATCAGAAACGCAAGTTGGATGACGAGGAGGAGGTGGAGGAAGGAGAAACGGTAGTCAAGAAAGTCAAGACAGAAAATGGTAAGAGAGTAGTTATCACAGAGACACTAGAAACTCGACCTTAAGAAATTAGCTCGAGATATTTTGCTCAGCGTTCGGGCATAGTGCGAGTCTTTGGGCTGGTAAAGACGCACCGGACAAAAAGCGGGATATTTTGCAAACTATCCCAAGATATCTTGGGATGATTATCCCGACCAAATATCCCGCTAATTGCAACTTCGGGCTGATGAAGAATTGAAGATGCAAACTAACTGGATAATTTGCGCAATCTCGAGCTGATGAAGACAGGCCTAATTGGACAAGTGGTACACCTAATTGCCCCTGGTTGCTTCTCCATTCCAAAGAGATGTTACAACTGGTTTTAAAAGCAATTGTAGGCACTAAGACAGACATTTTGCCAATACAGTTTAGGGTATTGGGAAATTTCAAATAATAAATACAAAGAGGCCAGTCTTTCTGATACAGGTAATAAATATGTCAACGCATAGTTTCAGAAAGCAACAAAGTTTTGATCCTCCCCATGCCATCCTCCCTTGGGTGCTGCCATTCCAGCTTTGCAAACAGGTGTACAAATAATTTGAGTAGTACCTACGAAAATCTTTAAAGGTACTCTTCAACATGTTATAACTCTGTGCTCAAGAGATACAGTATACTGTAGAGGGTTAGAGAAACTTTTCCTTATCACATTATATTCTTGAGATACAATGTTGTCTTCATTTTTATTAGATAGTTGTAGTTGGGTGATTTTTGTTTGTGTGTGTGTGTGTGTATGAAGGGCCATATTTTATGCCATGTTAGTATTGTTTGTATTTGTTTGGATTTTTTTTTTTTTTTTTTTTTTTTTTTAATGTTCTTGAGCTTTCACTCCTGACTGCTTTTCATCTTCCAGGTGTTTTTAACTAGGTTCATAAAAGTCCACTTAACAGAAAGGAACATAAATTTGCAAATTTTGCGTAGATATTTCTTGTATTCCTTTTCAAGCAATTAAAACCAGACCTTGACATATTTTAACCACTGTCGATTTCATTTAAAAAAAGTTAAACAGTACCTTTATTTAATTTGACATTGATCAATTAATAATATTCCAATGTACTTATTTATGAAACCATCATAAGCACAAGTTTACCGACATCCCATTGAAATTCATGTGTAAAAATTGATGAGCATTTCAATGTGTTGTCGGCTAACTTGTACTTTTGAGTATTTTGTGAAAAGTTTCCTTTTGAATGCCTTTTGCATTTATTAAGCATTTTGAATTAGCATCATTGTCATCATCAGTTTCATCACCATAATAAAATAAGAAATAATAATAATAACAGAAGTGGTGATGGTGGTAGTAGTAGTAGTAGTAGTAGTCATAGCAGAAGTAGTAGTAGGAGAGGAGGATAGGGGGAGGAGGGAAGTAGTATTAGAAGTAGTAGAATTAGTGGTAGTGGTAAAGTAGTAGTGTTTTATTAACAGTTAATAGTAGAAATAGAAGTTAGTAGTAGGGACCGTGAGGGTAGTAGTAGTAGTAGTAGTAGCAGAATTAATGGTAGTGTTAATATTACTAGTGGTAGCGGTGGTAGTAATAGTAGTAGGCGCTGTAGTAGTAGTAGAACTAGTAGCAGTTGCAGTTGTAGTAGTAGTACAGCAGTAATATCTGTTTACTTTACTACGCTTAATACTAAGTATCATATCCCAGCTGTAGCTGAGCCGCTTTTAATATAGAGAAATGAGGCATTCTTGGGACTTTCTCCCTTCATTTTACCCATTTTCTATTCTTATGTCTACCCGAGATGTAGGTGTTAAATTCATGCTTCAAGAGCGACTGACTCTGATCGCGAGCATCAAGAGACAGGCCCCTAAGAAGGACAACCAGTCCTACAAGTCCAGGGTCTCCAAGGTAGACTGGAACCAGGTCCAGTTTGGTATCTACACTGCTGAGGAATGCAAGAACGAATGGAACAGCATACAGGCAGAGGTAACGATTTATCATTCTTAAAGTCCCTCTGCAGTACTTATAGCTACTTGTGCCCTCTATATAGCAAACAATGCCTAATCGTTGCCTGTTGGTCTCCAATGATCCCCTTTTTCTTATGTTAATTGAGAGCTGACTTGATGAGATAACCACCTGTCAGTGACCTTGCAGGGAGGTCTAATCCCCCAGGCCAAACTAGTGCAGATGGGCTTAAATCCTAATTTTCTTTAGGTCTGCTTTGCCCTTTAAATACTGGAATAAGTGCTCATCGTAAAAAGTGATGTAAGTAAGAAGTGTAAGTCAAAGGTACACATGTACATGTATTTTGCCCTATACATCTTTTGACAGTTGACAGTTCTTTGAGGACTTGGACCAAATAAATAAGGGGAATGACACCCCCAATGTTCATTTTTGTTTTATTTTTTCTATATTCGTGGTAACATCTATGTATGGGATAACAGATGATCAAATAGCTTAGACTTGCCAAGAAAATATGTAATTGAAGTGCTTTGAATTGAAGTACCATTTATCCTTATTTCTCTCTCTCTCATCTCCTAGATCCGGAAGTACAAAACCCTGGCAGATGTTGCCCTTGAGGCGGCAGCCTTGGTCCAAACTCCAAACTACATCATTAAGAAACTGGTAAGATCTTCCCCACTGAATGATGTCAGATTGTGTCTTCTGTAGATCAGGGGGGTGTTTCGCAAAGATCCTAAGTTGAACTATGGAGAGTCACTTGTTGCCTTAAAATAAAGTATATTCAAAGCGAAAATTCAAGTATTTTAGATTTTTTTTATAAATTCCACATCAAGAACATGACATCTCCTTGATAATAGAAAACATGAAGGATTTGAATAAACATTTTATGCCTTTTAAAATACCTTTTACAAAATATTTTCATAGATGCTAACGGTTTTTCATAATTGATAAGTCCAACTTAAAGATAATTTCAACTTATGATCTTTGTGAAACACCCCCCTTAAGGCTATCATGATGAATAGAGTGCCTTAGCTTCATCCCTGATTGAAGCTGTAGTTCCCCTATAGAGTGGTCAAGTGTGACCTCATCAAAAAACTATTTTTAGAGTTTCCAAATTTGAACTTCATTTTCTGAAAGAGCAACAAATAATGTCCAAATATTAAAAACCAATTGAATATGTTAAGTATTGGCTGAGATATGCCCATCTGAATGATTTTGTTTCAATAGGAAATCACTGTTATTTCGCTCTTGTTCATAACAGTCAGTAAGAACTAGCGCAAAATAACAGTGATTCCTATTTCAATTTTCAATTCAATTCAATTCATTTTATTTTCACATTTTGTTAAAAATCACAATAACAAACATTTACAATACAAAGTCAATTCAAACAAATAACAACAGAACAGAAGTATCAAAACGTGGGGGGACAAACAAAGGCCAAAGGCTTATCAAAGGCTCGTCCCCAAACTTTATAAATAATTAATATAAATTAAGTGGTACAACATTTAAATCTGTTTACTTATGTAACTCTTGCAGGTGCATCCAGACATGCCCAAGAAGCCGTTGACACCGTTCTTCATGTTCTACAAGGAGAAGAACAAGAAGATGAAGGAGAAGCATTCCACCATGTCTCAGGTCCAGATCACGCAGATGCTCTCCATCAAATTCAAAGAGTTACAAGAGAAGAAGAGGGTAAGTGGTAAAAGGGTAAGTTTCCAGTGATTGGCAGAAGTGTCTCAATCATAGCTACTAAGCCTGCGACGGATGTTCCGTGTACTCCTCCGTTCGACAACTACACGTACACCATTTCTCGTATCCGTGTCCACGCAGTGACTTGTGTATGAGTGAAGGGGATATGAATTTTAGTCTTTACCTACAAAGTTTACAAACATACTTGGAAGTGAGACACGCCACACTTTCTTGAAATCATTTCAACAACTTACAAACCTTGCTAGCGATGTGCTACTTCCCCTACTTCTGCCCGAGGTCAACACTAGACATACAGGGTACACAAAAGTTGCGACGGCAAACGCAAGACAAGTAAGAGAAATTGTGTAGATCGCAAGCGCTAGCGAGAGCCGGTGCGCGCGGCCAGGGCCTAACGATACATTCCGCACACAACACGTGTGCTTTCCCAGATGAGCACATGCTCAACGGAGATTTGAGGCTGAGCGAATGAAATTGTGGATGCATAAACAGCTGGAATGAACAGCCTATCTGGTAGCAGAATGATGTACACATGTCATGAATATTGAATTTGTTTACGTGCTTCAGATTGGGTGAGAGCGCTCCATCTAGCAGAGATACTAGAACATAGCCCAGGTGCCGGTGAGGGGGGGGGGGGTGGGGGAGAGAGAGAAGAGAGTGTGTACATGAGAAAAGATAAAGAGCTGTTTTACGATTAGGGCAGTGTTAGATTTGTTGTGATTTTTCTCCTCATCCCATGTAAAATGAGAGTGGCATTGGATTGTGAGTAAGCAAGTGATACATGTGATGTATCTCAAGGTCGTGAGGGGGATCGAATAGAGCGAGGTTTGAGAGCGCTATGAAGTTTGAGTCATGAAAAGCATGACTGTGTACACGTGTATGCAACCCACCATATGTCCGGACTTGTACACGACTACCAAAATACACGCTAATGCACAGGCTTAATAGCTACTTTAGAGAGATGGTTATGCCAGGTTTTGTTGCATGGAGTCTTGATAGTTCCCTCTGTGCTTTTGTACCGTGCTCATTTTGTGTCACTGATAAAGTATATAGATTATTACAAATGATAGCGGCCGATTTCAAGATTTTAAGACGGAGGGAGGGGGGGGGAAGTAAATTTTTTTTTTTTAATTCTCTCATCTGATCAATGTTATAATGGGGTAACAAATATTTCTCAAATTTTTAATTTAAATGCAAGGAAAATGTGTCTTTGTACGTAAATATATTCTTAAAGGTACTATGTCCCTTTTGCAGCCAACCTCAAATGCTGTAGAACTTTGCAGGAATTATGAATATGTCATGTATGTCCTATCTGTGAAATTTAAATGTTAGCAGTGTCCTCATATTCAAATTATGCAAGGAAACCTGTTTACTTGCTAGACTTCACTGTCAGACACTATTGAGTGACTGACTGGCTTTTTTTCTTCTTTGGTAATAACATACATGAAAAGAGTTGTAAAGGGTACATGAGCATTTGCCTACATCAATAACCCACTTCTTGTTATGGCCAAGATCAAACTGATTGAATCTTTGCGCAGCATAAAACGTACAACCATTCGGTACAATTGTCTGAAAATCAAGACTATTACTTTTGGGCTCTATAGCCCTAAAGTCGATTTGACAACTAATAGTCGTTATTTTCCCACTTGAAGACATTTTCAAGCCCCACCTTTTTTAGGGAAGTTCTAAATTAGTATTATCTTTCAAATGCAGTTGGAATTTAACTTTTTCATTTTTTTGGCCTGCAAATGGGACATAGTACCTTTAAGTTTTCTGCGGAATGGAGGCACGGCCCCCTTTTACCCCATTTAATCTTCCTCCTGTTGGGGAATTTCTCTGTCTCATCCCTGTAGTAAGTTATCAAAAAAGAGGATTTGTTTTTAAAATACATATTTTCCTACCCTAGCAAATCATTGTGTGATGATATATTGAGATTGGAAATTCAGAGGATACAGGTGTGAATAAGAATAACAATATTCCATGGCAGACCTTGTGTATATGACTGGTGGTTGTATAATTTTTTGCTTTAACTGTCCCTTGTTTCTGCAGAATAAATATTTCCAGCGGTATGAGATCGAGACAAGGGCATATGAGCAAGCCATGGAGAAGTTTTAGTGAGTATTGCACAATTATGAATCTCTCATGGTAAAAAAAAGTGGTACAATATATTTCAAATTAACCCTTGTGGCAAAAGGGATGACATTTTAGGTTGCAAGTCATAATCTTATCAGGAAGATCAATGTCAATGGAGAAAAAGTTTTGCCTTTGGTTAAATTTGAAGTACAGTATCAGCAGCATGAAGTTATCGTTTAGGCAGAATTTTGTAGACATCTCATTGTATATTGCAGTCAAAGATTTGGTTTTTATTTACACATTTATTTCACTACCTTTTAGCTGTGGTGAAAATATGTCTTTTTTGTTTTTATTGCTTATCAATGACACAAGGTCAAGTTAATAAACAATTATTTCAGCTAGGAAGACACATTAAATTAAGGCTTTAGAGTGGACAGTCTATGTATGATGAATTAGAATAAACTATTTTATACCTGATAACATATTGACAGATAAATATTGAACATTTTGTAATTATCATGGACTATATCATACGGAAATAGCAGGAGTTTTTGTCAGCCTGGGGATACCGTACAATGGCTGTGATTGTCCAAAGTACAAGATTGTCTGATGTATTCTGGCTTTAATATTTTCAGTGATGACCATCCTGACTACAAAGCCCAGTTGAAGGCATGCAGAGGGGCATCCAAGCCCCCTCCACTCCCTACCCCATACAAGCTCTACTCTGAGAAGAGACACGCACAGCTGCTCACTGAAAATCCACAGGTATGAGTGGAATTTATTTCCTCTAATCAATCAATTCAAACCTATACTTGTTTTACAACCACAAGAACAACATAGGGGGCTAGTTTTCTGGAAACCGTCATAAGTCTAAGCTCAAGGACATCCCATAGATAGTTTGTTAATTCTATAACACGCGTTCCAATGGGATGTCCAAGAAGTTAGACTGATGGCGGTTTCGGGAAACGGCGCTCTAATGATTAGGATATCGTACATAAATTGTAAGAACAGAATCATTAAAATGCCTTAGTTGAGTCTGCACAGAGATCACATGTTTTATATATTATAGCAATGATGATAAAGTATGATCGTATAATGTTGTAGTCTGGTAGTATAACTAAACAAATCAAGTTCTTCACAAAAATTAGTTAAGTTTATAGACTGATATAATATTTTGTGTAAACCACACCTAGATCCTTATGGTTGAAAATACCCCTTCTTGAATTAGTATAACATTTACAATAATACGGTCATATATACATGTAGGTTAGCCTTAGTGGTGTTATATTGTTCTTCCGGAGGGCTCTGCAATCATATTCTTACTCCGGCTTTAGCTAAGCTACCATAATGCTCTCAAGCAATCTTCAAGAACTACGCTAATCATTCTGGTGTGTGTTTATTCTATATATGTTATAGAGTACTGAAGATGTGACATTAAAAAAAATCTATTTTTAGAATCATAACATTACGAACCAAAGCAAAATAACAGTGATTTTCTATGGAAATCTTTTTATTCGGATGGTCATATCTCATCCAATACTTAACATGTTAAATTGGTTTTCGACATTTGGACATTATATTTGATGCTCTTTCAGGAGATGAAGTTCAAATTTGGAAACTCTAGAAATATATATTTTTTTTGTCACACTTGACCAGTCATTATGTAAATGCTGTTTGAAAATGCCACAGGCTACATCAAATTGCTGACTTTTTGTGGTCCTGAATAGTCTATCTAACATCACTCTGTCTGTACCCATTCATTCTAAACAGATAACCAAAGGAGAAGCCGAGTCTAAGATGAGGCAGGAATGGAATCCATTATCAGAACGCAAGAGGATGAAATGGATCCTTGCCTCCATTGCAGAGAAACCAAACTATGATGTGAGTACAGAAAAGAAGTTTCTTCCGTATTGTATTAAAAGAATATAATTTTCACATAAGCCCAGCTGCAAGACCCGTTTACTGAGCTGCCAACCAGCACGACTTTATCATATTTTTTTTAATTTTTAGAAGTAAATACGACAAAACAATTTTTCTTCAATAAAATATGATTTTCCACAAAAAAAATATTACAAAATTGAAAATTTCAATGTGCTTGTCTATTTTGTGTGTGTGAGCCATTTTCAATGGCAAATTATCAATTTTCTCCTGTAAAGTATCCTACAAGCATCTCACATCACCAAATTGGGGATGTTCATTGGTTAATCAAACACACCAGTCATGAAAAAATCATGCATTCAACCAATGGTCCATAAAAATACATTTACAAGCTACTCATTCATTGAACGATCATTCATGACGAACTCTTGCATATTCAACAAAATTTTGTACAATGTTCTGGTGTATAATTCTTCAAAATGTTGATGAACACAGTCTAACAAAAAGGAAGTACTTATCGATCAAAAATGGGTTTTTTATTTTGAAAATAGGATTTTTTTTGGGGGGGGGGGGGGAAGGGAAAGAATAGGAGTTTTGTTCATGTTATCTGCACTTGAAAATCTTATTTTATACAGTAAAACATCTTGTCTTCAAGGTCTAAGTAAATTCATGATATTTTACTCAACAGAAAAAAATGGTGACATTCATAGAGAACCATCCAGCCTTCAAGGTCCCTACCAATCAGAAACCTCTCCTCACCAAGAAAGAGCATTTTATCAAAGAGCATCAGGAGGGGAGACCATCAAAACCGCCCATGTAAGAAATCAATTTTCGAATGTTTACATCTGTGTAGAAGTCCAGAGGGGTGTTTCACATAGATCCTAAGTTTAACTTATCTCTCAGCTAAACTTAATAGTTATGGAAAGCCGTTAGCATCTATGAAAACATTTCGTAAAAGTTATTTTAAAAGGCATGAAATGTTGATTCGTATCAATCATATTTTCTATTATCAAGGAGATTTCATGTTCTTGGTGTGAAGTTTATAAAAAAGTCTCAAATACTTGATTTTTCATCTTTGAATATATTTTATTTTAAGGCTACAAATGGCTCTCCATGATTCTGAAGTCCAACTAAGAGTTAAGTTCGAATTAGGATCTTTGTGAAACACCCCCCTGATTCATTACTATGAACAACACAAAGGACTTGGCAAAAATGGTAGTGTTTATCATGTACCCTTGTTGTTGATGATGGTTGTAGTGGTGATTAGGAAGGTGAAGATGGGGTGGTGTTTGTAATGATGATGGTGATGATTATGATAATAGTAGTGGTGATGATGATCATGATGATAATAATAATAATGATAGTAATAACATAGTATTTATTCAATAATCATCATCGCAGCTCGAGAGCTGAATTACAAATGATTTTACAACAAAAAGTGCATGAACTTAACTAATTACAGACGGAGTAAAAAATAAACAAAATATTTCCTCTTTAAAAAATGGTCGGATTATTACGTTAGAACAGGAAAAATGTATTAATCACAAATTAGGCTTGAAATAGAAGTAGAAAAGGAGAAGTTGAGTTCCTAAATACTAATTAAGTATATACATGTATAATCAAAGTAAATGTTATAGATTACAAAAAGAGTTTGAGGATGTAACATATTGTATTGAAAGTGTGGTGGTAAACAACTACAAATCATATGATGGTGATAATGATGATGATGAAAAAAGTGAATAACAGATTCTCTCCTTGGAAAGGTGGGCAGAAATGAAGTTAAGTATTTCCCACTGATGTTGATGATGCTTTGGGGTGTACACAGTGACCAATTGATAACCATAGTCCACTGACATTCCTATAAGAACACAACACCGCAAAAACGATAGTGTCCTATTTTTCAAACACTTGTACTATGAATAACAATTTTTTAAGAACATCTATATATGTAAGAGCAAAAGCAAACCTTCTTGAAGTTAATGAAGAGTCTCTTATCTTGCATTTTACACAGGACTGCATACAGTTTATTCTGCTCTGAGATGCTCAAGCAAATGGAAGACGTCTCACCCAAGGAGAAAATGTTGCAGTGTAGTACGAGATGGAGTCAGCTGAGTGACAAGGGCAAGGCAGAGTACAAGATGAAGGCTGCTAGGGTAAGTGAGCTGTCAATACCCCCTCCCCTCCCCCCCCCCCCCCCCCCCCCCCCCCCCCCCCCCCCCCCCCCCCCCCCCCCCCCCCCCCCCCCCCGTCACACCAACAAAAGACCTAACAAAATGTACACTACCTTGGACAAAAATTTTGCAGTGTGACTAAGGTATCTAGATGGCTTTGAGTGTGATACAAGGTCCAATATTGTCATAGCTCGAGGAATATATTCTTGTATCACATCAGGCTGACTAGCAAAATGACCAAATTTGACTTACCTCTGTAAATATGGCTTTGTTTTCATGTGATATTGATAACGATAGTTGGAAGTTCCCGGATGACTGAGCAATACGAAAATAATATTGATCAGTCGTCTGGGTACTGCGCTAAAGATATTAAATACACTGATTTATTGTACCACTTGGAAGCCTTATATAGATAATAATAATCTGTATCTCGTCCCCTCAGATAGGATGTAAAGTGATGGCACAGTTTGTAGGAGAGGCATATCCCATGCCTGTTGACAGGGCTACACACTAACCTTTTTTTAAGTGGTCTGGATGCATAATTGTAAAGTCTGTTTGTATAAGCCCTATCATGTTAGAATCTTGAAAATATGGGGGTCTAGGCTTAGATTTTTGGCCACTACTGTAAGTGTCCCAGGCACCTGTTAGTGTAGTGCCTTGATTTTAGGAACCTACATGTACTAGTGCGCTTCTTTTAAAACAGTTGGGTGAAATCCAGACACTTGGACCTTGTAGATTAGCTTGAAGAGCTATCCAATCATGATATAGATTTTCTAGAATCAAGTAGTTATTGAGTTCTCTGGGTTTTAATGTATGGTACATTGCATTCTTTCATGTCTAAAATACGATATAGAAGTAACAAGTGCAGAGATGCCAACTGTTCCGTTTTGCCGTAGTTGTACCGTTTTTTTCGCTATGAATACGGCAGTACGTTTTTTTTTTTTTTTTTTTTTTTAGTGACGTTTTTCTTAATTTCTGATCATGGGCTTTGTGTCGTAAGTGTATTATGCACCTACATCTTCAAACGATGCAAGCAGGATGGTGATACGGGCCCCAAACTGCGCACATTGCGAACCACCCACGTGTAATGTATGCACGTTGCGCTCGATCCGGGTAGGTATACGTGGTACTGCCGGTTGGGCGATATGTTAAGTTGAGAGATTTTTTCTAAAATACTGTTTTTTGCTCTTAAGAATACTTTTTTTTGTTGAAGAAAGTTGGCATCTCTGCAAGTGAGCATGAATTCATTGAAATAAATAAATAATAAATCCTATTTTTTTTCCTTCATTCACAGATGAAGGAGCATTATGAACGAGAACTTGAGAAATACATAGAGGTAAGAATGTTTTTTTCTTGTTTAATGTTGGTTCTGTGCATATTTTCTTTTTAAATTTAAGTAAGAAGTCATGACGTGAATGTGTGGAAACAAATTGATTATAATCCATTTTTGCCATTAGTAAAGCTACGGTCACAAAGTACGAATCTCCCTGTTTTTCCATTGTCTTCCCGAATTTCCATTGTCTGAAAATCGTCCGTACGGCGTTCGTAACTGTTCGTAATGGCATTTGTGACCGAGGCTTTAGGTATTCCCGAATCAACTTCATAAAGATGTAGTGGATCTTTAACAAAAAATAATAGGCAGCATTCTAATTTTCATTTTGTATATGTTGCTTTAAAACATTGTGACCTCTATCTTGTGATTTCATCAGGTTATTTTAGGATTGTCATCTTGTTTGTCCTTCTCAGAAACTACCACCAGGTGAAAAAGAGAAAATCATTGCAGAGCTGAACAGCATCCGTAGAATCCCTGGCTCTAAGAAGACAGCAACAGAGAAAGCATCCAAGGTCCCTGCAAGGTAGCGTCTCACTCTATATATATATACAAATACCAACATTTTTACTCATTGATTGAATGTATTATATCAATTGTTCAGAGCCAGAAGGGCATTCACTCTGTAGAAGTTCATGTAGAGGTGTTGTGGCGTAGTGGGTAAGTCGTCGGACTGTGAATCACAGGGTCCGCGGTTCGAGTCCCGCCGCGGCACCAATGCCCTTTGGCAAGATATTGATCTACATTTACCACTCTCCACCCAGGTGTTAAATGGGTACCGGTAGGAAGGAATTCCTTAAAATGCTGTGAGCGTCGGAAATAGCAGCCTAGCATAGCCGGGTAACTTTGGAGCGCCTTGAGGACTTTGCAAGGTCGATACGTGCACTATATAAGAATTTAATATTATTATTATTATTATGCCCTTCATGTTCTCAACAGACTCTGAATAGGACTCCATGCAAACCTTTATTTTAAAGAGGGTTAAGTCCAGATAGAAATTTTAATCATTTAGTGAAAAATATGTGGCCCATATGCAACAACACCCTGTAACAATGTATATACAATGTACAACCACATACATTTGGTATCAAGCTTTTTGTAAGAAACTATTATGCTTGCAAAAAATGAATGTCATGATTTTTGTAGCACAAGTCTTTTTCAAACTTGAACCACTTTAGCAATTTAAAGTTTTCAGGTTTGAAAATGTATATATTTTCCCCCACTTGTATTCAATTTCTTTTTATTCCTCACTAGCAAAAATATGAATGAAAAGATAATTCACGTACATGTTTAATTGCTCTAATGGTAATCCTCCTTGTGAAACAGTATGGTAAAGCTCCATGATTGATCATTACCTTTATATGAACTAACAAATGCATCTCTGTAAACACTCTCAGAATTTGTTTTCTTATGACACTGACAGTGCTTTGAAGTTTGAGCTGAACCTGAACGGCAAGACGACGGGGAAAGACTTGTGGATCGCTGAAAAACTACCAGCCTACACCAAAGAAGTAAGTTTGTTTGAGTGTTCATTTTACCTGACTGCTAAGAGGAGCATTGTATGCTTGTAAGTAAGCAACCAGGGGACCAATGGCTTTCATTCCTCTCCAAGGGACTTGGTAATGAGGATTAATGCCTTACCAAAGGGCAGGTTATGAGACCACTGCTCTACCACTACCACATGGGACTGATTTGGAATGTCTTTTTGTGAAACCTGTATATAAAGACCGCTCAAGGGAGACACGAAAAGTGGTCTTTATAGGCAGATGGTCATTATGGACAGGTTCCTTCAGCATATATGTTTCAATAATAAACCACTTTCTAGGGAAACAGACCAATATGTTCTTAATAGACAGGTAGTCGCTTAAGCAGGTATGGCTGTATATAAACATCTTATTGTCATTGCTTTTGTTTTCACTCTTGCAGATGTCCAAGACGAAAGCTCTTGCTCAGCTGAGGGCCCAGTGGGACACACTAGACAAGGGTATGAAGTCAACCTGGATCAAGCAATCAACAACACTCAACAAACAGATTGAGGTATGTGTGGGACTACACTAGGCAATCAATGCTCAACAAATGTATACAAATTTATCTAACTCATTACAGAAACCATAAATCTTCAACTTTTGTAAAAGAATATCATGTGACACCATGTTGCATGCTTTTTTCGGGATCCTACATTACCAATCTAATAGCATGACCAGTATCTATCGCTTTACTCACATTTTCTGTTAAATTCAATAAAGCTAACTCTGTTGCAATTTAAACCAAATGACAAACATACTAGGCATACATGTGACTAAGCCTTTTATTTTCAATAATGATAACTAAAGCATTTATTTCAGGGGAGGAAGTAAGCAATCAACATAATTTTTTTTTTTTAATGATAGAGATATGTATGAAACAGTTCTGTTCTTTGCTCACAAATGTATATGTGGGCAGTCAGATTCAAAAATATATCAAAAGTGCATGTTGGACTTGATAAACATGATAAACAAAAAGAAAAATCATGCATTTTCTAATGGAGTGATACAGGATTACACATAAGAAAGGTTAGGAAATGTTTTATTCACATGTTTTCTTATGTTTTCTTTTCTTTTTTTTTTTACAGCAAAATGACAGACTTCGACAGCTATGGTTGAATGCACCAAAGAAGCCCTTTGAGTAAGTTGGCCTGAACACATTCATTCATATTTTAGTAAGAGATTAAGTTTTGGAGTGTAACATTCAGAATTATGTAATATTCTTTGCTAATCAATTATTAAAAAAGCAAATTTTCCTGTTTACTTTTAGGTTTTACAGAAACATATACTTTTTGTAGATATTTCAAAAAGTTATCAAGAAGAAGAGTTTCATATTCAGAATTTGCATTGCCGATTAGCCATAGGAGACTCTCAATAAATCACTGATCAAACCCAAGTAGGCCTTGTCTAAATTTTGCAGGAAAGCATTCAGATACTTTTCATAGGTATATCCCGAGAAGTTACTAAGATAAAACGTTTCAGGTACAGTATTTTAAAATTTGCATTTCCAATTAGCCATAGGAGACTATGCAAATTACCGATCATACCCTAATTTGCCTTGTCTTTGTTTTTACAGGAGCGCGTACAGATACTTCTCATGCGCTATGCTGAAGACGCCGGAGTTGAAGAACGTCGACCAGAAGGAGAGGTTCAAGGAGGTTGCCAAGAGATGGAAGACCATCAGTGCGATGGAGAAGAAGAAGTATGAAGCGAAGAAGGAGAAGGCCATCAAGGAATATAAGAAACTTCTGGAGAAGTACAAGAAGGTAAGCGCTATGTACTAACTATCCCGTGACAACCCACTCAATGTTGATAATGGACTCATCTTATGCAAACTATAATGATCAGAAATTGTTTTGCCACCTTTTAACATAATAGTTTTTTTTTCTCATTAATTTTGTTGTTAAGATTTTAAGGAGCACAATTAATGCCCTCAGCTCCCATCTACCTTTTCTACTCCCCATCCCACAAGTCCAAATAGAAGATAATTCATCTTTGCGATAACCACCCACATAGGGTAGTAGCCATAAGGACTATTTACCCCAAAGATTATAACCAGTTTATGATGGTGATGATGATTAGGTAGTGTATACTTATAGAGAGGAGGACAGAAAGGGGAAGGGGTATTCGGGAATTGTATCATATTGATTTAAAGAAGAAAAAACAGAGTTCTGAATAAGACATTGTCTTGAAGACTTGAACTGAACTTGATATTGACTCCACAAATGAAGTTTAAAATGCTCCAAATCAACTTGAATTTTAAGATGAATTGCTGATTTATATTTGGGAAGAATTTCAGGGATCTTGTTGACTTCCTATTGGCTGTGATTTACAGTACTTAAAATCCAATTCATATTTAATGAATAGGGTTTCTGCTACTAGCCCAGGGCGCTTTCCTTGATCTACATGCATGGTTTACTAAATGCAATCATTGACTCCCTCTTACATTGACAGACTCTGAGTGAAGACGACAGAGCCAGGTTTATCGAGATGGAAACCAAGCCGGCCATGAGACAGAAAATACTCAAGAAAACACCAAGGGTAAGTCAGAGAGATTGGATTTCATGTTATATTCATCTGTTTTACATGCGCATTTACATCATTTTTGCTTATAATAAGTGTAGTCACTTTGATTTTCAGAAGATTTGTACAATGTCGATAAAGTTAATAGAAACAGGATAGTCAAGAGTCTTGACTTTCTCATTTTTTCAAGTTGCATAATAGTATGCTTATGTGCAACATGCAATGATATAATGATTGCAAATTTCCATCTTCTTTCGTATTGACAATTTGTGTTTTCATGAATCTTTGTATGTGTCAGTAGGAGGAGGTTATGGTGTAAAACATTGTTTACCAGACCTACTGAGATAGAATTTATATAAATAAAATAGAGGGGAAAGGAGAGTAGAAAGCAAAAGAGAGATTTTGCTGTTGTTGTGAGCAATTTAAAAATGATGAATATTCATTTTTATTTAATTTACCTCCTTTTCTGTGTATAGGCTGCTCCAACAAAGAAGGTTGTGAAGGTGGAAGAAGTCAGCAGTGAGGAATCGGATGACGAGGAGGAGGAAGAGTCGGATTCCGAATCAGAGGAGGAGGAGGAGACTGATGATGATGACAACGACGAGGAAGAGGAGGATGACGACGATGACGATGAAGAGGAGGAGGAAGAGGAGGATGGAGAGAACGCACAGAACGCCAACGACAGCAGCTCGGAAGAATCAGATTCGGAGGAGGAAGAGGAAGAGGAGGAGGAAGAGGAGGAGGAGGAAGAAGAAGAGGAGGAGGAGGAAGAAGTGGAGGAAGACTCGTCAGAGTCGGACTGATCCTCACGTCAATCTGATCGAGGTTCAGATTGACGCTGTTTTGATAAAAACTCTTTACACAGAGAAGCCGTTCATTCCATTGGCACTGTTCACCAAGACCTTTTAATCATCGGTGCCGCCGCCATTTTCCAACATCACCTGATGCACTTCCTTGTCACCTGACTTTCTCATCATTCATCACATGACCTTTTCATCAATCATCAACGGTCATAGTGGTGGCATGTCATCTGTAAAGAATGCTTCGAGTTCAGTCTATTGCACATGTTCCTCTTGTTAGTAAATCTATACCTTTTTTATGGAACACAGTGTACCTTTACAACCACCCTAGATTATTCTTTGTCAAGTCACATGATGTATAGTTTTGTCACCTGATATTGTTCTATAGGAAGTGGTGTGATCAATTTCATGTTGGTGCCATTGACATGGGTTTTGCTCATTTTGATATTCAAGCTCGGAATTAAGCATTTCATATCACATTTATCTTGGTACAGTTTTTGACTCTCTTTCTATGCTTAGATTAATAACGTTTTATTCTTTTTTTTATATTTTTATTGATATCTTTCTCTACACGACAAAGTGTCTCGCAACTATATGTCTACTCCTTTATTACCTTTTTTTTCAAGGGCCTCATGGGACACGAGTTAGATTTTCAGCGCATCAACTAATTAGAGATGCATGGTAGAGTTATTCACATGTATATTTATGTAATCGATTCTTAAGTGAATTTCTTGCCCACAAGGCCAGTATCTGCATTGAAAGGAATGAAATGATGCAATTTACCACCGAAAATAGATAGGCTTTGTGTGTCCTTTTTGATAATTCTGGACTAGTGCTGGATGATAACAGTCGAAATAAGAGAAATGACAGATATTAAAACCAAACCAGGGCCCCGTCTTACAAAGAGTTGATATCAATTGCAACTATGTACATATAAGAGATTGGAGACTGCAAACTTGCGATTGATTTGGATCAATCACAACTCTTTGTAAGACGGGCCCCAATCCTATATTCGATATCTAGGTATCAGCAGGTCACAAAGAAGATTTTGGACCCAGCGCAAATCTGCACAGAACTCCTTTCATCGTAGAGAGACAGAAGGGCGTTATATTCATTCTTTAACACAGAGTTCAGCAGTTCACGTCTTTCTGGCTTTTAACAAACAATATCTGCAATGATCAGTTCAGTTTCGAACAATAGCTCTAAAGTCTTTCCTCAAAATAAAATGAATTAAAAAAAAGCATGTCTGACATTTTAAAGTGGCACTTGTAACTGACTGTACATACAAGAATGTTGAAAATTATTTAATAACAAGGACCAAACCTGTTGATCACGTCAACGTTACTGCATGAATATTAATTGTGTGTAATATCTGACTAGAGAGGCTCATTCTATCATTTTGGAGTTTGCGTTTGATCTTGATTTTTGAAGCAAATTTGTGCAACATGGCCGCAATCTGTTTGTGGTTCTAGCATGTAGATATTATTGATATTTGAACATATTTTCTTTTTGTAAAGACGTAAATGGTATTCTGATGAATTTAGTTACTGAAATTTAATATTTTTTCTGTGAATTGAAGATTGACTCTTTGTAAATTTTTGAAAAGCAATTTTTTATATCAAGCAAAAGCAAGCAGACTCTCGAATCAATTTGATCTTTCTGTATTATTTCTCTCCTTTTCTTTTTTTTTGTCAGGGAATATATGTGTGCATGCTGGGTATGAAATATCTACAATTTTTTTTCCCTTCTCTTTTTCAGATATTTATAGCACATTATGATTTATCAATTTTTTCTTAGTGTGAATTAGTAGAGTTTGTTGACCAAGAAAGTTTAGAGGTTTCTTATAGTATAGTGTCATAAAATGATCCTTCTTTTGATCAAATCATCAATTAATGGTCAAAATGGTATTTATTTTGTGCTGTCATTTTTGCAATTAACTAACATTCCACCATATATAATGCTTAAGATCAGTTTAAGATAACTATTAACATATACAACTAGGCTTTATCACATAATGATAAAGAGTAGTGTTTTTATGACCACTTGTTTACTTAGAATTAAAAGTTTCAGAAGTTTTTGTTTAAGGGGGGGGGGGGGGGGGTCGGAGGGGGTATAGACTTAAAATAACAGCTCAGTTATCAACTTTTTGTCAACGTAGTGAAGATGTACAGTACAAAAGGTGTTTATAAACATATTTCAGACATCTTTTTTTCTTAATAAGGGAAACACACATCTTTCTGAAGTGTTCTTGTTCTAATTTAACAAAAATATTCAGATTGGAATGGCATCATATCCAGTATGTATAGGTGAGCGCACTGGAAGATGAGACTGTTTTGTCCTTTTGTTTCGAGATGCAAATTAAATAGTATCGTGCTGCTAGGTTTTGTGTGGAAATGCGAAGTCTTGTCAGCATTAATTACTACATGTCACAGTGTGAAAGATATTTCAGGATTTTTCATCTATCTTGATGATAAACGATTGTCCATCTTGCAACATTCATGGTCGCTTTCTTACTTACAATCACAGTGTGTGTCGATGTCTTGGTGTCGTAGTAGAGCAAATGATCTGTTCTACTGCTGCCCTCTAGTGCTGCTTTTCTACAAGGATCACTTCACTTTATATGTTAGCACTTACACTCACTGTATACTGGTTCATGGCTTTGTAGTGTAGACCATTAGACAATCTTGGGATGAAGTTTGTGACAAATTAACAAAACTTAACTCAAACAGAAGGTGAAATTTGATGTAGACAAGTAGCTGTTGTGTGACTATTAGCTGATGATGCAAGTTAAGCTCTGTTCTCGGAAGAAGAAGAAATAACATCAAAACACCCCAAGATAATTGGCCGTTTGCAATTCCAAGTTCTTGAGTTTGATTGCATATACATGTAATTGTGAATATGATGTTAATGCCCCACTGCACTACTTATAGCTACTTGCGCCCTCTATATAGCAAACAATGCCTAATCGGTGACCATTGGTCCCCCATATGGTCCCTTTTTTTAATGTTAATTGAGAGGTGATTTGATGAGATAACCACCTGTCACTGACCTTGCAGGGAGGTCTGATCCCTCCTGGCTCAATTAGTGCAGACGGGCTTTAATGCACATGTATTTTTAAAAGTTATCAACAATAATAAACTTATCAACAATAATACAAGTACAGTAAAACCTGTCTATTGAGGCCATCACTCAAGGGAAACAGAAAAAGTGGCCACTGGCGACAGGTGGCCTTTCTAGACAGGTTTGACTGTACATGTATAATGTCCATCTTCACTCTTCAATGGTAGTAGAAGAAACTAGCTAGACCCTTGAAAATATATAGGCAGCAAGGTATTTAGATGGTGTTAAACTAAATGCAATATTTAATGGTTAAATAAAGTGGTAAGCAATCCTTGGAAGTTACATAAATGAGGCATTGTATTTCAACAGCACCTGTGATATGCATTGGTTTGATGGCAGCACCAACATTTGTTACATATGATTACACATTTAGTTGAACCCCACCTTTTCAGTTCCAAGTAACTGCTCCAAATGCTTGATAGTGTTTCATATTATTATCACCCTGTTATATCTCAGTGTGTAGCTCTTTTGACATACTGGGCAGTTTTACAGAATTTTTTTCAGTAAAATAACAGAATCACAACTGACACTACATCTAATTTGTGATTTACAAAAGTTAGGAGGTTTTTTGCCGTGAAAATGGCTGTTAACAATTCCTAAAAGTTGAAAGTGTGTGTATTGTAACTGTACCACAGCACTTCCTTATGTGTATGATTGTGTGTATGCATTCTCATCCAATGTCTGACATAGCTTTAGCAAACCATAGATCATTTTTCAGTTGTAAAGATTGCTGTAGATACTGTCTCGTTTTTCCGTCATAGACTCTCAATTTTATCATTCCCTCTCTGAACAATGGTGCTGACTAAATGTGTCCAAATTCACTGGCTAATTTATTTTACATAAGGTAGGGAGATTTCATTTGTTTTAAAATCTTTTGTCAAATAGATATCTGTCACTCATCTGTGATAAAGGTGTACGCAAGGTATATACTCAGAACAGAAAGATATGATCAAGAGTGGTAGATGGTCACTATAAAGTGTGTGCTGTGTGCCAAGAATTTCATGTACATGCAGCTTGTACATTTTTTAGAAGGAAAACAAATTGTTTAAAAATGTAATTTATGATGGTATTTTTGGGTGGAGATAGTTGTATAGAAGAATTTTTTTGGGAGTAAATATGTCTGAATATGAGCAAAGCTTTGGAAAAATGTTTTTTACCCCTACTGGTGGAAAACTGTCTGCATTATTTGTTTTATTGTATGTTTGTGTGTATTCCAGGAGTTCAAATAAAGCATAAGTTTTATATGATGGAATTGCACTATATCTGCTGCTTCTGTTGTCAAAATATGTATTTGCTTGTATATGATTGTGGAATTTGATCTAAAGAAATTTGAGTGACCCTCCGAGTAATCAGCAATTGATAGAGTGACTGAGTTTATGATGGAGTGGTAGTGCAAATGATTAATTATCAAAACTCAAGATAATTTATTGTCTTTAAAAAAAAATACAGAAATTCGTCCTCCACTGGCGAGTGACATACATATATAAGCAAGATAAACAATATATACATACATTCGAGGATACAAAGAAAATACATAATAATACAAATAATAATAACAAAACTGATGTCTATTTGAAAACTAGCATTAAAAAATGAATCTCGACAATGCACAGAATGCATGAAATAGATGAAATAAAAAGGGCTCTGAACATTCACCCCTTCTCTCCCAGAAATGAGTACGAGGAAAAAAACGGACAAGAACAAATGAGAGAGAGAGAGAGAGGAGTCGCATGGAGTAGAAAACAAAGGATGTGAGGGAGATAAAAGGTGACAGAAAACGAAGAGCTCTAGGAGGGAAGAGATGAGGTAGAGTACAGGCTATCAAGAACAGTGACTGCCCGTGGTAAATAAATAATCTTCTCTTGTCACATTGTAGTTATCATGGGATAGATACATGTATACCAAATGATTGAGGGTTATTGAACTATTTTATATCATATTTCGTCGTTCGAAATTACATGAGATCCCGCCAAGCGCATGCGCAGTCAATATTCAAAGCTACAAATGTGGCTACTCTCAATAGTAAGGAACAGGGAACTTACACTTGAGTTTGAAGTTTGGGCGGATGAGGAGGGCATGTAATAACTTCCTCCTAAATATTCATAAAATAAAGATCAAACTTCAAACGGTAAGTTCTCGTTTAATCTTACTAATAATCTTTACAAGTGTTCTTCAGGTTTTTATGGGGATAACCAAACTGAAAATGGGTAATTTTGCAAAGCTATTGTGTGGCACAAAGCAATCCTCCCATTTCTTGGTGCCTATCAACTATTTGTCCGAAATTGCACCTGTGGCAAATGAGTGACCATACAAAGAGGCAAAGAAGGCAATCAAAGTGTTAATTGAGACCACTGGTCTTGGTAGTCGAGGGATTGAATGCAATAGATTAATGGAAGGGACGTATCTATCATCATCTTTTATGTCCCCTTTCCTATCTCCTCTTTCCATTTACAAATTTCTTTTATTTTCGATTGGGGAGGGGGGGGGATGTCCCACAGGTTTAGTGTCAAAGTGTCAGTTGTAAAAAGATTGAAATTAAATTTGTACCTCCTGATAGATTTCTGACGAAGAAAGAAAATTGTAGCCACTTTCTTAATATACGCACATATGTATGTACATATCTATGTATGTATGTATAAATCGATGTAGGCCTACTTCAATAATGAAAACTCGCAAATCAGACTTGTTCGCAAATGACTGGACTATTTCTTCCTCAAATGAGTCATTTTGGGTGATGGCCCATCCCCCCCCCCCCCCCCCCCCAGGTTTCTCTTAGTGCAAACCGAGGTCCCATGATGGTTTCTTTGCTGTAAGTAAACGGATCGTGGGAAGCTGCATTCAAGTGGACCAGCAAAAAGTGATTAGGGACTCTGCCGCCGCGCATCTTAGGAAGATGAGGGGTAACCTCGCCAGTCACAAGGACTGCTATTCATAACATGTAACTTCCTATACATGAAGGACCGCTATTCATAAAATGTAAAGGGGGTCACCAATCACTATTCATAAAGGCATAAGTTATTCATCAGGACCGCTATTCATAACGTGAGATGAGGCTTGCCACTCATAATTCACATTGAGGACCGCAATTCATAACACAAAATCGGGGCGGCTATTCATAAACACGAAGAAGGGGCGCTCTTCATAATTTATGTTGGGGGTCACTCCCATAAGGACGTCTATTCATAATATGAAATGAGGGTCGCTATTCATCTTCAATCTAATCGTATTATGAATAGTGACCCTCTTTTTGAGTTATGAATAGAGACCCCCCTCCTTGATTATGAATAGCGGTGCTTATGTATATCATGACCCTTATGAATATGACCCTTTTCTCAAATTATGAGTAGCGGTCCTTATGATTATTGATTATACAATCACTCCATCGATTACTCAATCACCCATCTATAACGCAATCACTCCGTCATTTTGTCAACAACAACAACAAAAAGACAAGACTTGTCCACCACAAATGTTTAATCTGAATATATTCCAAATATTTATTATAGAAATAATGCATAATTGTAGAGAATTTACAGTTTCTGTAGAAGTATTAACAACTTATTAATCAAGATTCGTTTGCATGAATTCAAGGTAACAATTCTGGATATTGGCATGTTCTGCATAATCACTTTTTACATTGACATACGCCAGTACAGAAAAATGATATTGTATATATATATCCCATTCATTATTCTGATGAACGGTTTATATGATAATAATACTGTGGCGGAACCTGCGTTCTGCGTTCTGCTTTGCAGTCTTCTCAGAACCCGGTCCACGCTCTCGACAATCATTCATCAACAAACTCTCAGTGGGCTCTCACAAAAATATATTGTGTAAGAAAATGCACAGGATCATAAAGCTGCCTCTATTAAAGTTGATACATTTCTTGAAAGTCTGTGCAATCATGTTTGAATTAGAGAATAACTGCCAAATGCAATGGACTAGACGTGTTAACCAAAAATATGAAGAATATTAAGCTTCTCTGCTATATAATCAATTCCAAATTTGTTTTCTTTGTATATAATATAATGTAACATACATAGATGCATTAAATACACAGTATTCATCAAAAGACCATTACTGCTTCATGATTCATTCTAATACATGAATTAATCTTTTACTTGGGTATTTCACTATTATTTAATTATCTTTTTTTTTTTATTAAGAGCAAATATCTAAATTCCTAAACCTTTTGATTGAAACAAAATATTGTTCACATATAATGTATCTACATTCATGTACTTATATTTTGTGTACATATTTCATAACTTCACAAAATCTCTGTAAATGTCCAATTTTACCAGAATTCACACATATATATATACCACTATAGAATACAGATTTATCTATTAAATAATCTAACATCTAAATTAGTACTTTCTATTCAATATTACACACCAAATAAAAAAACAACCAAACTTATTAATCACAGATAAATCACAATGGCAGTGCAAAGCAAAATAATCACAGTTAAAGCAAAAACTGGAAGCGATTGAGAAAAGAATAAGCACCGTTCACCAGCATGGGCCCAACAAACAAATATTTGGAATAAAGTGAAAAGCAAAATATATACATGTAACAGAATGCCATAATTGAGGACATGTGAAAATAGATTCATCACATTTGAATGATATTCTGGATGGAACCATAGTAAATATATATATTCTTTAGTAAGGCCTCAAAGAAGACATTGATGATTTCATCAACTTTTTCTATATATTCTTCTTACTTCAGGTCTGCGATAGCCTACATGATTTATGGATGTTTCCTTCCTGGGGGGTGTTTCACAAAGATCCTAAGCCAAACTTAACTCTAAGTTGGACTTAAAAATTATGGAGAGCCATTTGTAGCCTTAAAATAAAATATATTCAAAAGCGAAAATCAATTATTTTAGACTTTTTATAAATTCCACATCAAGAACATGAAATCTCCTTGATAATAGAAAATATGAGTGATTTGAATCAACATTTTATGCCTTTTAATATAACTTTTACAAAATATTTTTCATAAATGCTAACGGCTTTCCATAATTTTTAAGTCCAACTAAGAGATAAGTTCAACTTAGGATCTCTGTGAAACACCCCCCACGGGACCTAGTGACAAATTATTCCCCTTTACCTGTTACCTGTACATTAGATCACTACATAATACTATTTGTTTAGGTTAATGATTAATCTAATAAGTACAGCTTCAAGATTACCACTCAACAAAAAGAAAATATCACCAGTGATTCCATATTCGATTCTAAAATGGAAATGTAGAATCGACATAACAAATACATATGTACAAAAATGTTGGATTTGTGGAGGAATTTAAACGCAGAACAGTAAACCTTATAATACTTTTGGTTAATCATAGAATCCTACAAGCTCCAGTTTAAAGTGAAAATAGTGTTTAAAAAGAAAATAAAACCTCTCTTTCTTAACTATATGAAAGGAATGAGCACACCTTTTTTCGCAATAGCAAGCGCGCTGGCAAGAGTGCAAACTATGAGCATTATATATCAAAATAAAACAGGTGATGTTCATAAGAGGAAGACTAAGAAATCTATTAGCACAAAATGGTCCAGCAATGGTCCTATATACACGTATTCATCTATCTGAGTGTTGTACGATACAGAAATGCAAAGCACCTTGTGCTTCTCTTGCCTGTGCGTTTAATGTGACATACGAGAACGAGACTCAACTCATCACATGTCAACATTGAGCCATGTACATCGATATCAAATTATTACACAAGAATGCAGATGGTATGTATGATCCATTAATGTGAACATCAGAGATAAATCTAACACTGCATGATATTTAGTATTGATAAATTTAAAGTTGCACCAAATGATCCGAAATAGGCTGGAAAAAATACCTGAGCAGTGTTTCAAAAATAATTAAGTAACATATACCTGTGTAATGTGTGAAAATGGTCTTATTAAAAGCAGAAATTGATTTAATGACGCTTAAACTTTGTTAGACAGCCTAGAGTTAACACTGTATAGAATCAAAAGGGCATTACCGTATCTGCCGGCGATAAGGCCGCAGTGCCGCACCCCAACTTTGACATCTTAAAGAAGGAAAAAAAAAACCGGACAAAACAAAATAATTGTAATTTTCTCGTAAAACACTATTTTTTTTGACAAACGGATACCAAACTTTTCAATATTCTTATAATTTACCCGAAGTTTAGCTAAAAAAGTGATCGCAGGCAGATTTGGTGTCCGATATATGCAAAATGTACCCCTACCACAATGTATGGTGTAATGCGAAATTGCATGAAATGGATAACGAAATGGCGACTTCGGCTGGATGCTTCGCAGTAGCTCCGTTAAACGGTCCCTTCCTTTACTTTTGCAAATGCATTGGCACAAACTTAGAGATCTATCAGCAAATGTTGTTTTAGGAAGTTGTTGTTATAACAATGCAAGATAAAATTGTCGGTAAGATGTGTGGAAATGTCCTGTACCATAATGGTATAGTTATTTTACCGTTCGTATTCTCATATGTGCAAATTCGTGCTGGTTTGGACTTTCGCACCCCAACTTTTTGATATTTTCTCTTCCAAAAATACTGCGGCCTTTACGTCGGCAAATACGGTAATTCATATCCTTTTAGTAAATAAAGTTAAGACCCTCCTGGCTCTGAACATGCAGCATTATGTTTTCAGCCAAGATCCACAAACTGCTAACTCCATGGTCAAAGGGGGAGGAGGTGGAACAAAAACAAATATTGAAACATTTTTTACACTGTAGAACTCATTCAGCACTTTTCAATAACAAAGCATCTTACAGTAGTTTTAATTCCAACAGTATTTAAGAGAAGTTATATCATTTTATTTTATCTCTCTCATTTTACTATCAGCCCTTTTATGACAAGCCGGAAGGGCTATTAATATGATTATTTTGAACCAAATGAATGCAAAATTGTGAATTCTATAACCGTACTTACGGTTTGCAGTGATTTCATACAAATTATGAGAATGTATTGATGCCATTGTGCTTTCCCCAAAAACAAATTTCTAGCATGCAATTTGACCAAAATCAAGAATATAGTTGCCTAAATACATGTATAGCAGAAGTAGCATTGACACTCAAAGTATCACACTCATTCAATCATAAAGCCCCCCCCCCCTCCCCCAGGGTGTTGCATGTACATTAAACCAACAGTGTTTAATAACATCTCACATACCTCCCCTCGCAACCTTACATTGTCTTTGGTATAGTAGCAACAAACAGTGGTACTATATGCTACATGCATATAGCATGCAATAAACACATTCTATAACACTGTAATAAAGATGTAGAAAAATACTCTGTCTGTACATGTGTATATGCTACAAGGAAGTAACAAACGATCGAGACATATCGATTCACGATGTGCATACGTATATTACACAGGTGAAATGTTTTGAAAATATGTGTACACATGCATGCGCTTTTATGTGTATTTTATGTTGGTGTAAATGAATGAACTATTGATAGGAATTAACACAAGTTTATTAACAAAACCTCATTCCAATAATATCTTTGTCCTTTCTTCCCCTTTCCTATATCTATTCTACAGTGGTCATCACTTCTTCTCTCTTTCCCTTTAGACAAAAAAAGCCAATTTTAATTTCTGAGAAATTTCCAAGAATATAAACTGGTTATAGAAATAACAAATTAACATCTATGCTAATCAGTCATGTGTGTAAACACTATTATGAACATAGGAATGTAGAAAACATGATGATGTTCTTCATACGTAAAGCAGCATCTAGATATTGGAATAGATTACCTGGGGCCTTTCTCACTTTGAACGGCAGTCACACACCACCAAAATGACTCAGAACCGACCAATAATAGTAAGGACAAAAATGGTTGATCAGTCTACGGTCGGTATTGTAGGTTCAACAGAGGTACAAGCAAAAAAGTTTTATGAATTTGTGACCATTAATTGATTGTCATCATAGACGCTTAGGAAAGGCACAGGATAAAGACACTCAATCATTTTTCATTTCTTTTGGAGTACCCTGTAGCTGAGTTCATTATTCAATAACATCTGGTTACTTTGTAAATATGAAGGTATAGGTCTGTATAATATATGAGGGGGAATAGACTTCAGCTTAGAATGGTGTAATACATTCTCAGCTGCATCAAGAGGGGTTGACTTGAAATAGAACTCTAAAACACAAGGTCCATAATATTTAGATAAACCTAACCCTGCATGGGTCTAAGATCATATTTAGCAGTTAGACCTCAGCTTAGCATCATTTGTTAAATATGATTTTTTACAAAAGCTTAAGCCCGGCATTGGGTTTAATTTATTATTTCCGAGAACAGTAGGGAATTGGAATTCTCTGCCCTCAGAAATTGTTGCAGCGCCATCTGTTGGAGCCTTCCGCAATCAACTGCAGACGGTTATAGTGACAGTGGCTAGCCATCCTGTACATGCAGCTTGTAAATATTTGTAAATAAACTAATGTAAATAGCACTCGAATGGACGTCAATTGCGGTTAACACACAACCACACACAAATAGTTAGAAAGAATCTTCATTCAATTGAAGGAGGCAGACTTAATCAGAAGAAGAAGAAGAACATATTTAGCAATTAGACCTCAGATTAGCATCATTTGTTAAACATGATTTTTTTTTTTAAACAAAAGCTTAAGCCCAACATTGGCTTTGATTTAAGTAGGATACAATATGTTCCATGATTCATATGGCCTTAATTGTTAAAGCAGGGGTAAAGAATGTGTCCAGTCCCCGGCCTTCATTCACCATATTGTCATCTTAAAACCCAGCAGCATTAATCCTTTTTTAATGCATCATATAATGATTAAAAGGCAATGCATCTCCAAAACAAAAATGAACAGGTATTTGATCCTGGAAAATTTAAATACAGTCGAACCTGTCTTAGCTAGTAGCCACCTTTCTGTAAAGGCAACCTGTCTATAGTGGTCTCCTATATTGTCATCTCCCTTTAAGAAGTGTGTCGTACATAGAACCTGCCTAGAAAGGCCACTGTCCACAGCACCCAGATTCCTTGTATCCTTTGAGTGGCCTTTATAGACAGGTTTGACTGTAATTTAATGGTATACAAGGTATTCATTTCTTTTACTATTAGCATCAGATTTGTTCTTTGATCCCACAAACCGACTTTGATGTCCTTGATGTCAAACGAATCTCTTCAGTCCCATTCATTCATATTGCTGTTAGCCTATTCCGATCGCTCTCAGTGAGGTCTGGGTGCCAGAGATCTACTATAAGAATCACCCTCATGCGATCTGCTTCCTGCCAGACCTCGTGCTCGAAAGAATCGTCAAAGATGAAGAATTTTCCCTCCTCCCACGTTCTAAACAAAGCAACAACAAAAAAAAGTATTGCATTAATTTTTGTCTCAGGTTGCATTCCCACAGGAGCAACATGGGTCAACAGGGTTCATACACATACACATTTATTATATTCTCTGACTTTCCATGACTTTCCAGAGCAGGATAATGTGAATTTCCATGACCATTTTGAATGACGAACATGTCTTAATTTAAAGCGTACAACTATACACCATCGCAATACTAGGAAGCAAATCACAAAACTAGTGTGTATGGTCCGTCATGCACGCTTACATTGTTCAGAAGGGAGCTTTTTTAATGTACGGTAACATATAAATATATTATAGCAATAAAGGAGCAGGTTTCTAGTACTTACAGTAAATTGAGTAAAGTATACATAACAATTGCTCAACTACATATTCTTCGGTTCTACCCCTATTTCGAAGACACACAATCAACTGTGCCTCGTAATAAAATGAAAGTATTTTCGAACACTGAAATAAGACTCGATCTGATCTGGTTAACAAAAAACCAAAAAAGCCAAAAAGCCACCCAAAAAAAAAGCAAACAAAAAATTTCCTTTTTTTTGGTGGCTTTTTGGGCTTTTTGTTAACCACATCAGATCGGCTCTTATTTCAGTGTTTAAAAATATTTTCATTTTATTACATACAATGTAGTATATAACTGTATGCAGTATTGATAATTGATCATTTTTGTTATATAATGTCTTTGCTACAGAGCCTACCACTTCTTAAAGCCTACCTGGTAAGAGTTTTACTTACTCAGGATAGGACCTTGATCTGCAGTTAAGAGGACCACAATTGGTCAGAATTTATTTTAAGTTAATTTGTTTCATTGTTAGAGAGTTAGAGTTAGAGGGTGGTATTCTCTAAAGTGGACTAACTTTAGTCCATGGTTTAATCCACAGACTAAGTATGGAATGCCAAGTGTCCATATGAATATATTTTTCAATAATTTGATATGTCCCTAAATAACCATGATAACATAATAATATCATAGTTATATTGTTGTTTATTGATTTTGTTATTACATTCTATTTTAATTTAGTGACAGATTAAATTGTTCAAAAACATATTCATATGGACACTTTGCATTTGATACTTAGTCGGTGGGGTGGATTAAACTATGGACTAAGGTTAGTCCGCTTTCGAGTGTAACCACCCAGAGAGACCGGGTACACACTCACCTTGTTATATTGCCTACGCGTAACCTAACAGGTTGGGGTATTACCAGCCCAAGATGACCCCTCAGTCTGCAGTTTGTGGGACCACAGTGTGGCCACACATGGGTGCCAGGGTGCATTACTGAAAATTTCACCTACAAAAAATATATATATAACAGGAAAGAAAAGATAGATATAAAAACAAATCACACATTTTATAATGTCACTAGCTGTTCAAGACATCGCACACAAAGAGTGTCAAAATTAGTGAAAAGCATAAACAAAGGAACATCAAAGTTACCATCTCACTAATGACTGCATCTCAATATCTTCATTAATATATAAACTTGTTTCGAAAAATTACATTTGAAAGGTATACACATGTAAAGTGTACCGGTACATACGTAATCAAACACAAACATGGGATTTCATTTAACAGTTATTATGGTATGAAGAAAATGGTTGGCCTTTACAGCTAAGTTATCAAACAATATGAGACAATGAAATGGCTACTATCAGCTGATGGGCGCTTCCTATAAATCACATTGCTTCACACGTACCTTATACAAATACTTTAATATGTACTATTTTGTTTCATTAATGTTGTTCATCACTATCACATTACGATAGTAATTCAGCGAATGACTCTGAATATATTGCTAGATATATCTCCAAATCTTGTTGTTTATCTCTGTATATAAAATGATTTCTTTCACAGTATGTCACACTGACTACCCCCCCCCCCCCCTCCCTAATCAGCAACTTTGTCCTCATGCATGGTTTATCTCACACTCATTTGATTCAGGATTAACGGCTAACAGATCATAGCTAGTTGTTGTTACATCACACCTAGAATATACTCCCCATTCTCCCTTCTTTCGACCTTCCCCTCTTCCAATTTACTACTTCCCTTACTTCTCTAACAGTTGCCTGACCCCACAGGTGGTCCACAGGTGCTTGTTGTATACAGACTTGCTGTTACATAACAATGAAATATCAATATTCCCTCCCCCTTCTCACTAATTAAACCCTTCTTTCCTTGCCTCTCTTAAACCTGCTCAACCGTAATTGAGGGATACTTTTTGCTGAACATTTAGCTGCTATGACATAACAGTCAGATCATCATCACTCCCCTCCCCCCCCCCCCCCCCCCCCCTCCCCTCCCCTCTAACTTTTCCTTGTCCCTTCTTTCCCTTGTTCTTTTCCGGGATGATCGACGGATACTAGTGTATAACTCTATGCACATTTTTGTTGGGCTCTTTTATGACTTTCGGGGCACTTTTTGGCATTTTGGGAGCTGCTTTGCCCTGAGCCCCCATGTATTTTTTCCCTGTCCAACACTCTGTTTACGCATTATGACTGATAAGGGTTTGTTCCACTAACTAAAGACAGTTCATGTTAAAGGATGAACAGGTCATATAATTGTTATATAATGACCAACTCATGTCTGCCAACCCCCTCCACCCCCGACCCCTCACCAAACCCTCTAAATAAACACATTTTTTTACCTGGCCTCTTCTGCATCCTCTTGATTCAGGGATAGTGTCTATTATCTCACAGGTGCGAGGTGCTTGTTGGCAGTTGGCTTGATTTTTATTTCCTAAAGAATTGAGAGAGAAAACAGCAATGAGTGAAAAAGTGACAGGTTCAACAAATACACTATGTACGTTTTGTGGTTATTTTTTTTTAGATTAGAAGTAATTTTGCATTATAAAAAGGGGCGATTTGAAAAATTGAAAAGCTTGCATAGTTGAAATTAAAGGGGATTTTAAAGGGAATTGATATATGTAGTGAAACAGCTTAACAAAGGTTTCAGTGTAAGGGTAATTTGCATTGGCTGATGGGGCAACTGAAAAGTCAAGTATTGTCAAAAATGATTTTTGTCCTTACCTTTTGCATACAATGTAAATTGCTTCCAGTCTCCCGTATCCTGGAGTTTCTCCTCTTCCTTCTGGAAGAGTCCATCGGAGCTTAGCAGCGCCAAGGCCTCATCTCGTATCGTCTCCCAATTGCTCTCTAGTTTCTGCAAACAAAGAATGAGAAGATGATCTGACCCGTTTCAGAGTTCACCTCAATGAACATCCTTTTAAAGGCATTGTTTAACAATGTTAAATCTGAGATGCATGCCCTACGTGTTATCAGTGACTGTAATATGGTGTAATATTGAAGCCCTAACAAAGTTGTGCTTCAAAATGATCATGAAGTGCCCCAATAGACTGTAGTGTTATAAAAACTGTTAGGAAAACAGAAAATTTGATTTTGGTTTCCAATCAGAAATATCTTGATAATCAGACAGGCGATCGGCCTGTAAATGTCATGGGCTTCCTGACTGACCTAAAGGTTTATAATTATGAATGCAGCATGAGCTAAATCCAGGATTTTGTTTCAGAATCTGAGGCAATGTTGCCTAGTCACTTTAAGCCTCAAAAGCTATGCACTTGTCAATTTTGTTGAGTGTCAGTCAGAGGCAGGAGGGCATCAACTCTGTTGAAGTATGAGAGGTAACACCCTTCTGGCTAGAAACAGATAGTTGTTTTTAGAGCTGATCTTCACCTTTGCTGCATCAGCATACCGTGCCCCTTTGGGAGTCCAGAACTCTTTCCCCCTCAGCAAGTCCACGTTGTAGAGTGACCTTTGGTACCTTGACCTGAAATGACCTCTGCTAACCCCCTCGTCGTAGACTTTATAGGACTGCACGGAAAGCAAAGGAACACACACACATATTCTTGGTCATATATGTAACAATGTTTAATATTCGTTCTATATTCGTTTGTCAATGGTATTGCATTAAATTTATTTGTTTCATAACGTTGTGCACAGGCTCACTGAAAAGAAGTCTGTTTTGACTGATTGGGAGTTTTTACTGTGATTAAATAAATACAAAAAAACACAATACAAACAGTTAAACTTATTCTTTTTTCGCAACACAAATTAATTTATGGATAATTTGCTTGATTAAATGCAAGGGTTTAATACAATCATACAACAAACGACCATAAACATTATATGATAGTAAAATATATGAGAAAAAGGCATGTGAAGAATAAAAAGAATTTGAGGGGGAGGCTAGAGGGATTGAAATAGTTGAATGAATTATCAGGTAATATCCATCAAAATAACATATGCATGTATTATACATATATAACACAAACAGTAAAATTTGCTTTAAATAGGTCAGTCAAAGGTGTAAATGATTAAATCTGATTGTAACTTATCTTGACACAATTTACTGACATGCGTGTATACACTCACACATAATACCATGACTGAAAACGGGATTAATATTTTTTTTCCAACAAATATGTCTCAATATAAAATCACAAGTCAGTTGTTAAACAAATTTCATTAAATAAATCAATGAGAAAGAGACAGAATCTTACCACTTCAAATTTCTAAAAAAAGATACAGTCAAACCCTTATCTAGAGACCACTCAAGAGAGTCAAGAAAAGTGATCTTTATGTACAGGTTCCTTTAGTGCACGTCTCAATGAGAATCAATTTTTGAGGGAAACAAAAAATATGGTCTTTACAGATCGACTGCTGGTCTTTGTATACAGGTAGTCGCTGATTAAAGCAGGTTGGACTGTATTGCGAATCAGAAATACTACAGCAATTCCTACCTCGTCTACCTGACCAATCCTGAGGTAGGACTCGCCTAAATGGAAGAAGTATTTGCCCTCGTTGGTCTCCCTGTCTCCAGAGTTGATCCCCGCCCTCAGGAGTGGTATAGCCTCAAGGTAGTTAGCCTCTGCTTTGAGGATGAAACCCAAGTGGACCTGTGCAAAGCCATCCGTGGGGTTGCTTTCTAACATCTGCAATGGAGGGATGAGAAAATCATTATTTACTAATTTCAATTTTTTTTCTGTTAACTTGACATAAATTGTAAATTTTGTAATAGCAGGTGTTGTGGTCTAGTGGATACATGTAAGTCACCCAACTACAAATCACAAGGTACAGGGTTCCAATCCCAGCCCGACACTAACGCCATTTGCAAGAGAGATATTTGCCACTCTCCACCCAGGTGTTAAATGGGTACCCGGTAGGATTCGAAAGTTAATTCTGTTAAGTCTGTAAAATGACGCCTAGATGAAATGCTCCCCAGGGAGTGGAAAATAGGGTTAGGGTTGTATGTCCATTAGGAAATAACGTTTTAAGCCCCACTGCACTACTTAAAGCTACTTGTGCCCTCTATATAGCAAACAATGCCTAATCAGTGCCTGTTGGTTCCCCAAGATCCCCTTTTTCTTATGTTAATTGAGAGCTGATTTGATGAGATTTCCACCTGTCAGTGACCACAGCAGGGAGGTCCAACCCCCTGGCCAAACTAGTGCAGACAGGTGTTAAAGATAATAAAGTGCATTTCTTCCTTGCTTGCTTGCAAAAGGGAATACCTCCAAATTTGGGCAACAAGGCGCCCTATTAAACATCATCATATTCAGGCAGGAAGGTATCTGAATATATCTCATGATTACTTATTGACTAAAAAATGTTTTAAATAAATTGTATTATAAGATGATGAAGCGGATCCTAATCAAATGATACACCAGTTTACAGTTGTGTGCGCCATTTTTATTGGCGATTAAACAAAGCCAATGACCTAGAGGTCATGTATTTATGCGTAAATTAAGATTGCGCCCATTCAAATTATGATGATATCACTGCCTGCGCGCTGCGTTGTGCGCGCATATCATCATTTGCATGGGCGCAATCTTAATTTACGCATAAATACCAGAGGTCAGAGGTTATTGGCCCCGGAACAGGGCCAAATTAGCCCTGTTCCGGGGCCAATGACCCGAGGTCAACTGTCTGCTCATGCGCACTGATACAACTGTAAACTGGTGTATTGGTTGAGAGCGTACACATGAAAAGGCATTTATTTTGCCTAACACGTAATTTTGCTAATGACCAGTCATTAGCAAATACTAATGGACGGTCATTAGTAAAATCATGCTATAAAACATCATTCTATGAAACAAATAAACCAAATCTTATAAAACAAATAATACACATCATTTTGTTCAGGCATTAGTAAAATTACCAAGTAACAACACTTGGTACCTTTGGAAACGGTCCAAACACCCTCGGCGATATGTTGGACTGTTCCAAAGGTATCCTGTGTGGGTAATTCTTACTAATGCCCTCACTGCTGTGTATCATTTGTATGCTATATGACGACCTGGCGACGGGTATCTACTGACCTGCTCAAAGTAGTGCTTAGCTCTGTTATTCTTTCCCACGATAAGATATTGGACAGCGAGGTTCTTCTTGGATTCATTATCATCCGGGTGTTCTTTCACAAGCTCTTGGTATACTTGGATGGATTTCGCAGACTTTCCTGGATAAACGAGGAGGAGAAAAGAAGAATGCAATAATTTGATAATTTGATTAAAATATTCCACCAATTTGGGGAACTGGCTTTCCAGCAGTATTACAAAGATATGTACAGTGAAACCTGTCTATAAAGACCACCCAAGGGAAACAAGAAAAGTGGTCTTTATAGGCGGGTGGTCTTTATGTACAGGTTCCTTTAGTACGTGTTTCAATGAGAAACCATTTTCAAGGGAAACAAAAAATGTGGTCTTTGTAAACAGGCGGTCTTTCTATACAGGTGATCACTAAAGCAGGTTTGACTGTTCAATGAAATAGAAATGAAAATATATATATACAAATGAAATACAAAGAGTACAAAGAATTTTGTATTACAAAGTTGTACATGAACCTTGAACTGATGGAACTAATGATTGTTGTATGAATTAGTTCAATTGGTCATAATTTCCTTTTCTTATCTATTCATATTCTTCTTTTCTATAACTCACATCTTACAAGGATCATATGCACAATGGCGCTTCACAAATTATTACCCTGGCTAGTTTTAATGTATTTGCTAATGGATTAAAGCCATGCTAAGGCCATGGTGAAACCCACTTCAAAAGACCTGGCTATTAACCGATTTGTAAGATACACGTACACCAACAAAAATCTAACCTCAAAGTTTTTAATTGAATTAAACAAGATTTCCCTTATTCCGATACATCGCATGATAAACTAACAACAGAAACACAATAAAACAAACCCGTGGTCACTAACTGTTTCCAATTTTTAATCAAAGGTGACGGCTTTGAGATGTCTACGTCTGAAAAACCACTTGCCACCATGTGGTTCTCATTAAGAGTCTGCTTGGCCATGGTTTATCAGAGCCCTAATCAAAACCTCGATCAGCATGCTGTTTGTCATCGAGTAATTAACCACAGGAAAGCTGGGTAAGTGATTCATTAAACAAAAGGCGCTACATGAACCTCCTTGATGAATTACCCCAAATGGAAGAAAGAAGTCCCTTGCATAAAAACATATAGAAAACCTATTATCCTCTCGCCCATTAAATTAAATACAGCTTATTATTTTTCTTAAAATTAGGATTACGAGCTGGTTTCATTGATTGAGACTTAAAGGAGACCTTTGTTGCAAACGTGGCAACAAGGTCCTTTGGCAAGACATTAATCTACATTCGCCACACTCGACCCGGGTGAGGTAAATGGGTATAAACTGGCAGGAATTAATGCCTTGAAATGCCAGAGCGCCGTAATGGCAGCCATGCTAAAGCTTGAGTAATAATTGTGAAGCACTATAGGAGTGTCAAGCCTGACAGACATGAGTGCTATACAAATACCCACTATTGTTATTATTATTATTTTCATTATTCTGGTACAATCTGTTCATTACAAAGCCTGAAGAGCCGTAAGAGGTGTCAGACAATGAAAACTGGCATTCATCTTAAAAACATTTTTTTTTCTTTCTAAATCTTTAACATTTGAGTTGAATTTAGTAAAATTCCTATTTTGTGAAGTTCTCTTCTAGGAACATCAGTACCGGTAATTGATCTATCCTCAAAGATTATTAATAAAATCTTGTTTAAATGGCTATCATTTAACAGTTTGTTGGAAGAAAGATGTGTCATTCTTTTATGGATCACAGCATTTTCTATGTCCTTTGGACAAACACATGTGGTACGGTATATCAAACTTGGGGTAACTGCTGAAAATTCTATATTTCATCTATTTAATCAAATGTTTGTTGTACGTGTTCTTGGTGCTCATAAATTTTGGATTGCTTTGGCATCATTCTCACTTGAATTCAAAATTAGACCCCGAAGGCCTCTGTCACACATAAAATTTGGAACTCACCTTTAAAAAAAAATTAAAAAACGGCACAGCATGACAACCTTCTTAGTTAAATAGCAATTAAGATGCAAAAGGCCCTATCAAAGCACGTTTATATACCTATCCCTGTATTATATAAGATGCCTCCATTTAAGATGCACTTTGCTTGTGCAAGTTTATTCAGCCACAGCAGGGTTTTAATGTGGTTTACTGCAGCTAATGTGATCGAGGTTATTACCTGTTGCATAATTAGCCTACAGTACAATGTGTAACTTTCGTGGAAAGATTTCCAAATCAAATAATTGTGTGAAGTTAACCAGCTGATTGGGTATATTGACTCAACCCAGTATTACAGTTTAAATTACTTAATGGAATAATCCCCACTAGACAAGGCTAGATTGTATAAATAGAGTGCAATTTAGTGGAACAGAGTAAATATACAGAGCAAATATAATAGTCATATTTGTATAGCACTTCTAAGTGCTTTACATTGAAATAAGATGCATGATTTCTTCTCTTTTTACAATTTTTGCAAACAAGTGATGGGGAAAGTGATGAAAAAGGTTATGTTTACCGATAAACTGTAATCATATTTGTATAGCCCTTAATACATTTTTTCATAAGTGCTTTGCATTGAAATTTTGCAAACAAGTTATTAAACAAGAAATTATTATGCGTGATTTCTTCTCTTTCTAAAGACAACTGACTTGGAAAATGATGAAAAAGGTGATGTTTACCGATAAACTGTATTTACTGGGTGTATAAGCCACAAATATGTTTGAATAATTGAAATTTCTCCCAGGAAGCATTGCATTTATAAAGTTATTGTCCTATTGCGGACTAATGAATATTAATGAGTCAGAATGAATCAGGAGAGCTTGGGTATTTGTTTCTAGTTCATCGTGACTGTGCCATGGACCAGTGATGGCCTGGTGGTAGAGTCGCTGCCCGGCAAGCAGTAGATGGCAGGTTCAAGTCCCGCTGGTTCCAAGATTTTTTCTGACTTGTTTTTCAATACAGATCGTCAATCGATCTTATTTACTGGGTGTATAAGCCACAAATATGTTTGAATAAACTGTATTAGGTTTTCAATATTGTTATGTATTCTGGTCAATGGTAAATATATAGAGCATATACATGTATGCATTTCTTCTCTCTTAACACAAAACTGACATGGAAAATGATTTAAAGGGTGATATTATTTACCGGTGAACTGTTCTAAGTTTTTAAGATTATCATGTATTCTGAAACAGAGTAAATAAATAGAACAAATAATGTGCATGACTTCTCTGTATGTCAAATTGACATATATCGGACTGTGTCTCTATATGCCTCTGCCTATAAAATTCAGGTAAGATCATGGCTCCTATTATTGTTTTTGGCATATCACTAAAATGATAACGAAAGGCCTAGATAGACCTCTGACCTTTGACCTAAAACCCCAAATCAGATCGTTTTTATCCCTATAATCATGCATAATAGTAACAAGCTTAAAGTTCACAGCTCGAATACGTATTGATATGGTGATAACAAGGCTTTAACAAAATTAAGTACTTTCATGTACTCTCATGACCTTTGACCCTATTCACCCCCAAATCTATTCAGATTGTTTTCCTATGGTCATTCACACTAGCACAAACCACACAAATAAAGTTCAAACCTCAAACTGTTCTAAAGATATCGCGATATTGAGACAGTGGTAGGCGGATGCATACAAATAATGAAAGGTGATATATTTTAACAAGTTGTAATACCACGTCTTTGTATTTCTTTAATGATAAACTTCAATGGCATATATCCTAGACAAGGTGCAAACATATACTGGGTAAATGCAAACATATAGGATTGCTACATTATCTATATGCAAACTTGAAAGTGAGATTTAACCAAAACAAATATAATTTTCACAAACACCCCTTCCAGGCAAAACAAATTTACTCTACAAAACGAGTACACATCTAAAAGAAAATATGCCTGTCATTCTCCTCTATTTACATGTAAAATAAAGGCAAAGTGTGATATATTTACCAAAGAATGACAATCTGTCTGCCATTCTTGCTAGGGCAGCCCTGTGGATATCCCTGGGACAGTTTGGGGCATCAGCGGCTTGTCTGTAGGACAGGATGGCACTGGAAGATGGATGGAGAGGAGTAAGATAGGAAGAAAAAGTTATTAAGTTAGGATTCAAATGTCAACAACGTGAATGGTGAAGAAAGGAGGAAAGGGAAGAGAGGGGGGAAGAGAGGGGGGAAGAGAGGGGGGAAGAGAGGGGGGAAGAGAGGGGGGAAGAGAGGGGGGGAGAGAGGGGGAGAAAGAGAGGGGAGAAAGAGAGGGGAGAAAGAGAGGGGAAGAGAGGGGAGAAAGATGGGTTGAGAGGAGGGGCTGAGAAAGAGGGGGGGGAGAGAAATAGGGGAGAAAGAGGGGGGAAAGAGGGGGGAGAAAGAGAGGGAGGAGAAAGAGAGGGGGAGAAAGAGAGGGAGGAGAAAGAGAGGGGGGAGAAAGAGGGGGAGAGGGGGAGAGGGGGAAGAGGGGGGAGAAAGAGGGGGAGAAAGAGGGGGAGAAAGAGGGGGGGAAGAGGGGGAGAAAGAGGGGGGAAGAGGGGAGAAAGAGGGGGGGAGAAAGAGGGTGGGGGGAGAAAGAGAGGGAGGAGAAAGAGAGGGGGAGAAAAGAGGGGAGAGGAGGGAAGAGGGGGGGAAGAGGGGGAGGAAGAGGGGGAGAAAGAGGGGGGAGAAAGAGGGGGAGAAAGAGGGGGAGAAAGAGGGGGAGAAAGAGGGGGAGAAAGAGGGGGAGAAAGAGGGGGGAGAAAGAGGGTGGGGGGGGGGGAGAGTAGGCAAGGAATGTGAAAGAAAAAAAACCTCTCACACCCTCCTCTTCATTAGTGGCCTGCATCAATACTTCATCAACCTACATGTAATAGGACCAGACAGAAACAGAGATAGAGAGACTGGGTGTGAGAGAGAAAGTAAGGGAGAAAGTGAGTGAGAGAGAGAGAGAGAGAGAGAGAGAGGAAACAGAAAAGACATAAACGAAGAAACATAAAGGGACAGAGAGCTGAACAGAGGAAACAGACATGGTAGAGAGAAAGAGAAAGAGAGACAGAAAGAGAGAGAGAGAGAGTGAGGGAGAGTTGAAAGATGGAACATGCGATGTGAGACACAATGAATAAACAATACCAGACCATCTTCAATCGAGGGGAACCCATTATTCACATACCCATCGAGTAGATCATTGCTCCTCCTCTCCTCTGCTAGCCCATCGAGTAGTTTGGCCTTGGCCATCAAAACTTTTGCACTATCTGGAAAACGTTTGATGATGTCCTCGTACTTGTATAAAGCTTGGTCTTTTTTATTCTGTTAACAAAACAAACAAAGCAAAATACAAAGAATATCTACATGCTGACTGCTGAGAATCGGAAGGGTGTTGCAACACATACTGTATCATTATCATTTTACATCGAGCTAACAATATTCTGGTTCTCAGGAAGGGATATATATAATAAAATGAATGAATAGTAATGTAGGTGAACAAGGAACACCCAGGGGGGGGGGGGGGTACTCACATATTAAGACATGTGGGGGTGTGCCGTCCTAATGGGGCACTTTTTCATACAAAAACAATTAAACATGGGTCCGTTTTTCAAAATTTTCGGGTGTTTGCCAAATTGCGAACAATGGGCTTTTACTTCTAGAACAATTCCCCAAAAGGACCCTTAAAAATGGGTAGGGGTTTTGAGGCTTCAGCGACACACCCCTGTCCAAACCAAATCTGAGTAAAATCAGGCAAAAACCTGAAAACTGGCATCCCTGGTAAAACTCCCTGGATTTACAGTCACGTTTACGCATATATTTAGAAATCTATAAACCAAGTACCGTAATTAACGGTGTATAAACCGCCCTCGTGTATTAACCGCACCCCTCTTTTTTTGGCGACCGAATCTGTCAGCAGCAAGCCACGCGGGAAGGCCTTTCATTTAACTGCGAAGTGCAGCTGAATGTGGAAGATCATTAATCAGTAAATTAAAAAACAGTAGAGGACCTAGGACAGGACCTTGTGGTACACCGTGTAATAGAAGAAAAATTGGAGGAATTATTATTATAAACTAGATATTGAGATCTATCAGAAAGATTACTTTTAAACCAAGATGGCAGACAAATTTGAGTGTTGTTCTAGTTTCCGAGTGGTGAGTCAACACACCGATTACTGAGTTGGGAGACATTGCCAGGCATAGCACCAGGTGGAGGGGCATGAATCGAAACTTTAAAAAAAGTTAAAAATTAAAATTAAAAATTATTAAAAAAAATTGTGCACCGTGTATAAGCCGCACCCCCGACTTTGTTTTTTTTTTCGGCAGCAAAAAGGTGCGGTTAATACACCGTTAATTACGGTATGTAAAAAATGGATTGTACTTGAAAAGGTACAGGAACATACCAGTTAAACTGGCATTGAATTGCAATTCAAAGGTCATGGTTCGATCCCCGATACGGCACAAATGTCCTTTGGTAAGGCATTACTCTTCATTTGCCCGACTCGACCCAGGTGAGGTAAATGGGTACCTGGCAGGAATTAATTCCTTGAAATGTTAGAGCGCTGTAATGGCAGCTAGGCTAAAGTCAGGGTAATGATTAATGCGCCTTGGAATAGAATTTCTAGATAGACGGCACTATAGAAATGCCTATTATTATTATCATTACTATCATTGTCAAAATGATGTTCTTTCAAAACAATACCTTTTGAATAAGGCCTTCGGCTTCCTCCAGAAGTGTATCTAGGGCTGACTTCTTTGTGACCTGTTTCTTGCTTTCAGTTTTACTGCTCATGCGTTCTTTTGTTTTAGATGCATCTGTGGAGAGATTCCAAATACATGAAGCATTACAAATTATGCAATAAGGTTTACTAACATTTAATTAGCACCGCAAGTATGATTTTTTTTAAGGTTCAATTTTTTTTTGAATGATTAGTTTCCAATCTAGAACATCAACCTTCACAATACATAAGCCTGCTTGGAATTTCTTGCATAGAGATGGACACTTTTTAGTTCAAACAAAATGGATAAGAGTATAATACCATAATCACAACACCAAACCGACTCCAGACGGACTCCAAACCCAACCGATTCTTGGCTATATTGGAGATAATGTAATTAATTAATCGATCGGTCTGTTGTCGGTCTGGTGTCAGTCTTGTTGATGTGATCTTGGTGTAAGCTTGTTTGCAGTTTGCTTCCTCCACCTATTGCAGAAACATGAATATATTGCAGCTACAATGTATACAACTTGATCGCAAAGACTTTCAATAAATCGACCGAAGGGCAATTCTAATACCAATTGTATAGAGTACCGCAGCTGTGACGTAATAAAAATCTATTTTTAGAATTTCTCAATTCTTTCTTCATTTTCTGAAAGAACATCAAAAATAATGTCCAAATGTCGAAAACCAATTGAATATGTTAAATATTGGCTGAGATATGACCATCTGAATAAATATACTCCCCATAGGAACTCAGTGTAATATGCTCTGGCTCCTAATGGTTAGGAGCCAGAGCATATAACACGGAGTTCCCATAGGACATATATTCATTCAGATGGGAAATTGAGAAATTCTAAAAATGGATTTGTGATGGAGTCACACTTCACCACTCCATTGCCCATGGCAGTCACGTGTGGATTGTGCAATGTTCACACGTTTCAAAAGGAGGCGCACATGGCTACAGAAATTGCCTCAGGTTGATTTTTTGAGAGTTTTTAAGGGGCCTGTTTCATAAAACTTGATATCTATAACAACTGCTAAATTCCTATGACAAATTTGCTCTCAGCCAATCAGATGCCATGATTTCAGTAGCTTATAACAGTATCTTGTAAATTGTTATTGATATCAAGGTTTATGAAACAGGGTCCAGATCTTGATAGTTACCTCCCACGTGATCTGCAGCAGCCTCGTCTCTTCCACCCCTACTACCATCAGCATCATCAGTTGCCTTGGCAACAGTGTTATCTTTTGACCGGGAGGATTGGGGAGAAGATGGAGGATCGGCGGGTGGGAGTTCAGGATCCACTTTGGATTTAATTGTCTTGGGGGGACTATCTTTGGTTGTGTCAATGGATGGGGGCTGAGGACTGGTGTCTTTTGGGTCTTGGACCACTTTCTTACTCGGTCCATCTTTGGACATGGGTGGTTTGGGGAGACTTTCCTTGATTGGTTTAGTTTCAGCATGATTCTCTGGTTTAACAGCGACCTGCTCTTGGGGAGGGGCATTCGCCCGAGTGAGGACTACTTTCTTGTCTTTTTCTTCTGAAGGTTCTTTTGGTTTGGTTTCAGCAAGATCCTCTGGTTTAACAGCGACCTGCTCTTGGGGAGGGCGATTCGCCTGAGTTTTGACTACTTTCTTGTCTTTTTGTTCTGAAGGTTCCTTTGGTTTGGTCTCAGTATGATCCTCTGGTTTTCCAGCCTCCTGCTCTTGGGGGGGAGGGGGATTTGCCCGAGTTTTGAATACTTTCTTGTCTTTTTCTTCTGAAGGTTCTTTTGGTTTGGTTTCAGCATGATCCTCTGGTTTAACAGCGACCTGCTCTTGGGGAGGGGCATTCGCCTGAGTGCTGACTACTTTCTTGTCTTTTTCTTCTGAAGGTTCTTTTGGTTTGGTTTCAGCATGATCCTCTGGATTACCAGCGACCTGCTCTTGGGGAGGGGCATTCGCCTGAGTGCTGACTACTTTCTTGTCTTTTTCTTCTGAAGGTTCTTTTGGTTTGGTTTCAGTATGATCCTCTGGATTACCAGCAACCTGCTCTTGGGGAGGGGCATTCGCCTGAGTTTTGACTACTTTCTTGTCCTTTTCTTCTGAAGGTTCTTTTGGTTTGGTGTCAACATGATCCTCTGGTTTACCAGCGACCTGCTCTTGGGGAGGGGGATTTGCCTGAGTTTGCTTGCTCTTGGGTTCTTTGAGTTTCTCATCGTTCTTTGGGGTTCTTTTTGGAGTGACCATCTTACCCTTCGGTGAATCCGTCTCAGTCACAGTCGCCTCCTTTCCTGAAGATCTCTTGGCACTATCCCCTATATCTCCAGCTCCTTGTGTAGGCACAGGCTCTACTGTCTCCTCTCTTCCCTTTTTCAAAACTTCTTCTTTTTGTTCATCTTCCGGACTTTTATCCACCTTATCAGTTTTCTTTTTGCTCTCTTGGGATCTCTGAGGTGGTGCATCCTGCTCTTGGACAGATCTTTTCTCTTCAGGTTGTATCGTCTCTTGCGATGGTGGAGGCGGCCTTGCAATGCCCTCCTTTCCAGTTTTCTTTTTATCTTTTGAGCTATGCTCTTGAGTTTGTGCTTTCGCTTTATCCTCTTTTGGCCCACTATCCTTCACTTTCTTTCCTTCATGAATAGTCTCCTCTGGAATGTCAAGCTTATCTTTGGTCTTCTTGGTAGCCTTTGCTTCTGCAGGAACATCTGCATTGCTCTCTTGGGATCTCTGAGGTGGTGGAGCCTGCTCTTGGACAGTCCTTTTCTCCTCAGGTTGTATCGTCTCTTGCGATGGTGGAGGCGGCCTTGCAATGCCCTCCTTTCCAGTTTTCTTTTTATCTTTTGAGCTATGCTCTTGAGGTTGTGCTTTCGCTTTATCCTCTTTTGGCCCGTCGCTTTCCTTCACTTTCTTTTCTTCATGAACAGCTTCCTCTGGAATGTCAAGCTTATCTTTGGTTTTCTTGGTAACATTTGCTTCTGGAGGAACATCTGCACTGGTCTCTTGCGATCTCTGAGGGGGTGCAGCCTGTTCTTTAGGATTTGTTTTGCTCTCCACCTTTGCCACATTATCTTCTACTTTTGCATCTTTTGCAGACTTGTTTGCCTCATCTTTATCTTGCTTGTCTTTTAGCTCTGATTCTGTAAGAGTTTCTTGACTTGCTTGATTAATGTTTGGTTCCGTCTCAGTAAATTTTGAGGTAGTCTTGTTGTTCTCTGCAATGGAACAAGATGGAGCAAATAAAAGGAGGGATGCTTTACACTAAACTCTTTTATCAAATATAAAAGTTATGAGACGGCTCTCTTTTGCATGTACATGTAGGAAAAATTAAAGGTAATCATAAATTGTAAATATAAGTATGTTGATCTTCATCAAAGTGTCCACAAAAAATAAGTCTTTACACAAATTTAAAGTTTCATGATCATATCTAAAATATGAAGCGAGTGTGAATATCCCCTTCCACACTGTTGTGGATCGTACATATGGGAAATCCTTCCCATTGACGTTTCAACTTCAAACTTAATATCACATTTATGAGATATACACTTGGGCAAGTGTGAATACTCTCTCCTGTATCATATAAAACAAAGAAAGTCCTACATTGTCTACATAACGTGATCTTTGTCAAATTTTCCCAATGAAACTACCTAATTCAAACATTCAGCATCACATCTACGTTTGTTCATATCGTAAAAGATATACAGTACGCTGTAGGGTTCTGTGAACAGTCCCTCCTACATGGAAGAAAAGAATTAGTCCTGGATTGTCAATATGAATTGAACTTAGTAAGCCCTTCCCATTGAAGTTGCAAGACATGGAAGAAAGCTCAACTTCAATGTACAAGCGATATACAAGTGGGCCAGTGCGTACAGTCCCTCCTACATGTAACTTACAAGAAAAGGAAGCCCTGGATTGTCGATATGAATTGAACTTGGTCAAACCTTCCTATTGAGGCTAACAAATCTAATTTGGGAGGTGACATTCTTTACATCTGAAGACAAGACGACTTTTGACATTCTTGTGAGGTCACATGACCTCACGTGATGGTGGATCATTCATTCAGCTATCAAAAAGATGGGAGTTTTAAAGGAGGGAGATCAACGACTGTGGTTAAAGTAGTCTCGGGCCATATGGCATAGACCTTGATAATCCATTGCAAGTGCTCCATACTAACTGTATTAACATGAAGTCTGGATTGAAATTTTCATGATCAAAATGCAAGGGCCCTAGGTTTATAGATTTCAAACTTCTAGGGGTTTAATAGCCTATCCGATAGGCGTCGGGCTAAATGGCAAGTGTACTAATTGCGTTTGGGAGACTGACGCCTATCATCACTGGTCAACTCATCATTATTCATATATGTGTATCGTATGTGTGACAAGGGTATTCTCATGCATGATTCATAAGACTAGCCTTATTTGGGGATCGATCACTTTGATTCAACCAATCAAATATCATCTCTGCGTTCCCCATCGCTCATTGGCCTATTTTGGTCCATGCTACATAAATATTCATGAAAGAGCTTTGCAGGGGGTTCGTAGATTTTCTACGAACGAAACATTGTACATAAAAGGAAATAAAACTTTTCGCATGCACCAGTGATGATAGGTGCTCGGGCTGACCGCACCGATGTTACTCTCCATATAAACGCGATTAGAATACTTGTAAAGCCCGAAAATTAGGGGATCCAGACTACAGAGTTAAATTTAGGGGGTCCATCTACATATATATGGAATCATGTACAACCCTGAGATGGCTAGGAAAAGGGGCAGGTTTGTCTAATTCTTGGTGACATTGCAGTTAGGTGTGTGAGAATTAACTTGGTCTTGAGACTTGATGTCTAGACTACTAGTAAGGATGACATGATGACAGCTGCATTAAGTAAGTAAACAGGGACACTTCAATCTTCCCACTAGTCTTATGAGCTCTAGCTCCTGCAATGAAGAAATTGAAGCTCTTCTTTCGATAAGATACGATAAGATACGATAAGATACTCAAAATGATAGTCTCTCACAACAAACAATGGCTGCGATATGTTGATGAATAAATACCATACTACTATACTATACATTTTATTCCGATGTATTTTGACATTTTTGTCATTTGTAAAAGTAAGAGTAATAACAAGGCCCTTGTTTACTCAGATTACAGCCTCATCAGTATTCTGCCCTTCCTTGGGGCCGTGCAATAATCATCCCTCCTGCACTTACACACGTCATTTGATTCCTGACTGAACTAAAGGTTTATAATTAATTATAATAAACGCCCCCCTCCAAAAAAAAAAAACATGTTTAGCGTCCTGTTTTTTTGAAAAATAGGAATGAGGAGGCGCTTTTTTTCTTCTTCTTTTTCTCTTTCAAAATCAGAAATAGATCCATTTTAGCAGTGTTTTTCATGTTTTTTTTCTTTAAAAAAAATGCAAAAAAAAAAAATAGAAGGTGGCCCCCACAAAGGAAGCGGGCGGGGACGTTACTTTTGTTTTTAACACTCCTAAATAAGGGATAATATGAATAGTTGTAATCATAGCGTTTCAAAGTTTCAAAATTCAATATAAATTGTCTAGGTTAGTGCAAATCCCAAAATACTTCTTTGTTATTCAATGATTATTCTTAATGATATAATTTAATGTAATAGATCATTGAGCTTTTAATGCGGCCAAACTTGACTGGTTACATAACAATGTAAGAGAGAAAGAGAGGACGAGAGGCTATGAAAGGACTCTTGAAAGTAAAATAGCCCTTTCATTTCATTTTAGAAATAATCTCTAATCCATCCCTTGATATTTAAATTGCATTACTCCTACTGTGTGCTTTTTTCACACTCTCCCTGATCTATGGTGCTTTCTTTATTTGATCATCAGGTCACAAACTTTTCGAAGCGTGACCAGATTCAAAGTATGCTTAAATCGGGGCATTGATCCCATACAACGCTTTGAAATGTAAAAGAAGAATAAGAAAACTGAAGTTGAAGTATTGGTATTATCTTCCATCTGAGAGTGATTATAGATGTTATTTATATGGATCATAAAGATAAAGCTGTCCGGGTCTTTGAATAAAATGCTTCAAAACAAACCGACCAAGCCGTTTATTCCTTTATTTAGGGTCTGTTTCTACTATTCTATTTTCATTGCTAACCCTCGAAAGCGTATTTATTATGCATTTCACAGAAAGCCATTTCAGAAAAGTGTGCTTAAGAGAACTTCAATCGAATTTTGAATTCTAAACAGTTTTCTATTCACTTAATTGATGCTCAAAACTATCTAAAACCCAGGGGAATATATTGTTGAGCAATTTAGTAAGGCAGCCCAAGGTTGGGATTTTCTTTCGCTTTATTGTAAGAGCACTTTTTTTTTGTGTGTGTGTCCAATATGGAGGGAATTTTTAGCAGCGACTCAGCTGGGGGGGGGGGGGGATGAGAGCACTCTTTTTGGGGGGATACACGCGCCTGGGCTATACTGCTCCGGTAGTACCGGTGTGCACGCTGACGCCTCATACATGTATATCTGCTGGAGCTAGAGGCGATCACGCAAGGACCTGGAGAAGTTTTTCGTTGTGAAAAGCGTGAATCCTCTGAAATCCAAAACACCAGCAATTAATGAACCTCGACCAGTAAATCAATATTGAGAAGGAGAGTAAGACCAAAGATGTTGTGGAAGGATATGGTACAGACTAAAAAAAGAATGTAAATGAGGTTGCTCTGAATGATGAGGAGGAAATAATGTGCAGAACGGGAAGAAATAGAGAGAACGTCACCACGGGATGAAAGTCAGTAAACCCTTATGTTACTTGCAAATTTGTAAGAGGGAAAATGCCGACTTTATAAATAAATGACCATGATGGAATAGCAAAGAATTTAGGAGCATCATGGGTACAATTTCAATGGAAATTTGTATTAAAAATAGCCCCAGGGAGTACCAAAAGAGGCTCTCTTTTTTTGGAAGAGCCCCTGTGAGAAATTAATTTGAGCCTTGACACACACACACTTTTAACTCCTGGGTCGAGAGGGGGGGGGGGGGGGAATAAGGAGGGACTATTAAAGGGAAAGTCCACCCCCAAAATAAGTTTGTTTCGATAGAGGCAGAATAATAAGAAAATCAGGTGAGTGAAAGTTTGAGCAAATTCTGAATGAAAATAAGAAAGTTATGAATTATTGAAGTTGTGATCAATCAAATACAAATTGGCAACTCTGTGACTTATTATACGAGCTCTCCTTCATTTGCTTTGTGCATAAAATTCCATAAAATCACGTTTTCTTCGTTATTGATGACGGAATATATATTTGTTCCTTGCAGGGGAAATAAACATGTAGAAACATATTTGCAATTATTATATTTAGGGTGCATGTATGGTTGAAATTTTTCTTGAGGGAAAATGAAAATTTTAGATTTTTTTAGTACTGAGCAAATGGAAGTTGAGCTCGCATGATACGTCATAGAGTTGCCAATTTGTGTTTGATTGATCACAACTTTAAAAATCCTAACTTCCTTATTTTTAATCGGAATTTGCTCAAACTTTCACTGACTTGTTTCTCTCATTTTTCTATTCCTATTAAAACTAACTTAATTTCAGGGTGGGCTTCCCCTTTAAACTACAAACAGAAAGTGAACAAATTTGTAGTTTCTCATTTGTTGTTGAGCTGAATCATTTTTGTAAGTGAATATGATCAAAAGAGTTCAAAAATAAGTAATATTACGGTCCACAAATTAGCAGTCGCAGCACAATTAACAGAGAAAAATAAACCGCAACAAACGCTTGTTTTGTAATATCCTTCTCATGTACATATTTTTAGAACATGACAGGAAGAAACTGCATGCACGTACCGTAGTCACATTTAGTTAATTTTGTAGCAATTAATATGGATTGAAGGTTGTTTCTTTCTATTGTAGCAGGCTCTAGATTTGCACTTTTGCAGGCAATTAGCTAATGACATATTAATTTGACGAATTTGTGTACATGGTAAGTTGTATTTTGGAATTAGCAGACCTCTGTAAGATTATGTCAGCAGCCTAACTGAAACACTCTAGGCCTGTCGTCACTAGCTCGAGATTGCCAAATATCCCGCTATTTGAACTACCCCAATCGCAAACTATCCAGCTAATTTGCGTCTTCATCAGCCCGGAGTTGCAATTAGCGAGATATTTGGTCGGGATTGTCATCCAAGATACCTTGGGATAGTTTGCAAAATATCCCACTATTTGGCAAAATATCCAGCTATTTGTCTGGTGCGCCTTCACCAGACCGAAGACTCGCACACTATGCGCGAATGCTGAGCAGAATATCTCGAGCTAATTTCTCAAGGTTGAGTTTCAAGTTTCGAGGTCGAATCTCGAGCTGATGAAGACGCGATATGTAACTTCGGGATAATTTCCCAAATCAGAAATAGCGGGTTATTTGGCAATCTCAAGATGATGAAGACGCGCCTACTGAGCTACATGCACCTGCCAAAGAACTTATCAGTCAAGATACAACAGTCTTATAGGCAGAAGTCTATCATGACACATTTTTTCCTTCAGGTTTCAATTGATGTAAACATGTTCATTATCTAGGTCTATAGCATAGGCCTCCGAGTCAATATGGGCATGTTCACACATGCATTTAGTTGTAAGGCACGTATCGACCCACCTAATAGACTGTCAAACTGCAGAAAAATATTGGGGCGGGGGCACATGCAACATGCAAACCCATTGGTGTGAGCTAGCCTTGTCTATATAGAAAGACTGCTCTTCTTGTCTCCCTTCATTATAGTCTTTATAAACAGGTTAAGCTGTATTTATATGTAGATTAGAATGATGTATGAATGGAGCCTGCCTGTTTTAAACATACAGCATATGTGAGTAGAGTTGGGTGCAACAGACCCATTTGGGTGAGCCTCGTCTAGAAAGACTACTCTTCTTGTCTTCCTTCAGTATATAGTCTTTAAATACAGGTTAAGCTGTACTTATATGACCAGATTAGAATGATGTATGAATGGAGCCTGCCTGTATTAAACATACAGCATATGTGAGTAGAGTTGGGTGCAACAGACCCATTTGGGTGAGCCTCGTCTAGAAAGACTGCTCTTCTTGTCTCCCTTCATTATACATAGTCTTTGCATACAGGTTAAGCTGTATTTACATGTAGATTAGAATGATGTATGAATGGAGCCTGCCTGTATTAAACAGCATGAGCACAGTTGGGTGAAATAATTCATGTAGTATGTACTGTACAAGAACAGATTTCTGCATGAGTGTGAAATGGCCCTATAAAGTAATTGCCGCATTGCTAATTGGGAGTTCCCGAACGAATTTACAATCATAACACCCCCTGTGTTGCTAGTGAGTGACTGAACCTACTGAATGTCATATACCGGTAATTAAGCTAAGTTTAAATGGCACCATCATAGTTTTAAACTTTAAAAGGACAATCCATGCCTATCCACCACACTGTTTCTCTTTGTCATTTTTCTGCATTCATCCACATTTATCAACTATAAAGGTTGGATTGCTCTTTAAGGCAAAATGATGGAGATACACTGTATATGTCACCATCAATGACCCGTACAGTGTATGAAAACATTATTTATATAGCTACACGTGGGTACTGCTGCATGGCAGACAATGTACAGTAACAGGATGGAACATGAAAAGATCTTGCCATATGACAGATAGACATATATTGCAGGTGCAAATGGATATGCAGACAATGGATGTACATAATAATTAAAGCCTATCTGCACTAGTTTGGCCAGGAGGGATTAGACCTCCCTGCGTGGTCACTGGCAGGTGGTTATCTCATCAAATCAGTTCTCAAAAAACATAAGAAAAAGGGGACCTAGGGGGATCAACGGGTACTGCCTAGCTATATAGAGGGCACAAGTAGCTACAACATTGATACAAGTACTGCAGTCCCGCTTTCAAAAAACATGTTTCTGACTATTGTCCATGTTCTTTAAACTTGATCCAGTCCAATACATCTTCAACATTGTTGACAGTGATAACAGAGCAAGAAAAAAAGGGGGAAAATATGACAATATATACATGTAAGTGTTTACACCCGTCGGTTAGAGTCCTGTTAGAGGCACGATTACATTGAAACATGAAAGCCAACATACAAGATAGCACATCAATGACAGGTTGAGTGCCAAACACGTAGGCCTACTTGAACTTGAAGGGAGGGCCGGTATACTGAAAACCAAACAATAAACTATACATTAAGAACCAACACCAAAAGGGTTTAGACTTAGAACAGACCTACAAAGGGTCTAGAGGAGGTTTAGAGTGGGTCGACCTAGAGCAAGTCAAGATCGGGATTAGATCAGGAGTACAGCAGGTCTGTATACTGAAAACCAAACAATCTGAGCAGAATTGTTCCATGTAAAGCTAAAAGTATACATTAAAAACAATACCAAATGGTGTTAGACTTAGAACAGACCTACAAAGGGTCTAGAAGAGGTTTAGAGTGAGTGGACCTAGAGCAGGTCTAGATCGGGATAAGAGCAGGTCTAGGTCAGGATAAGAGCAGGAGTAGAGCAGTGCAGGTTACTGGGGATGGAGCTGAATGATGCATGGTGGTGGTGGCATGATGAGAAGAGGCAAGGCTGCTGGAGAATAAAAGCCTAGATTACATCGTTAGACAGCAAAAGAAATAGTCATGCAAATGTCATACAAGTAAATGTTTAGGCATGCGGGTCAACAACTGCAAACTTTAATACAGACACACATGTAAAGTAATTAAAAGTTCATTCTGAAAATGACAGAAAATAGATTGTGTCACAGCATCACACAAAACTTAAAGAGAATGTTGAGTTCTGGGAAGAGGTAAAAAATACTTTGTGAGCGTTATTATTGTTATTATGCAAGTGTGGAAGAACATGTACCGGTAGATAAAAAATGTTCCCTGAAAAGTATGGCTCTTCAAATGCCTTAATATTTTTAATATGGCATGTAACAGTGTACAGTGCTTGTATAGCTTTACCAAGACTGGGCCAAATTTCTCATCATTTTGATGATTCCAGAACTTTGCAGTACACACCAAAACTTATATGCTGGATGATCAACCTTTTCTAATCGATTCCACACCGTTTCTTTCACAATGCAATCGCATGACTAGAACTCAACTTTATCTTTTAGGTCAACAACTGCAAACTTACACACATCAGGCACATATAAAATAAATAAGTGTTCTGGTAATGGCAGAAAGTAGATTATCACAGCATATCAAACAAAACTTATATCGAATGTTGAAAACTTGTCCCTTGCATAACTTGTTAATTGCTTGCTTGAAGTACACATCAAGACATAGCGTTTACACTGTACACCTCATTTTAATACCATGCACTCAAACACGACACCATAAACTGCTGCAGGTAAAACTTAGCATGTAAATGAATGGCACTTCTAAGACAATATTTGGAAGGGAACAAATACATACAAGTAACAAGTAAATTAACCACCACCACATGTATTAGCCGGGCATTATAAACCCCCCTGTGTCTGAACGACTCTTTGATGTTTTTGCATCGCGCTCCTTCAGTGGCATCCAGGCATTATATCTCAAACCTGATGACAGGCTAGCTCGTCTCCATCCGATGTGTGTGGCTCAACGGACCCACACAAACGCAAATTGATTATGTCAAATTGTTCCGCTGGGAGCTCGCCCCTGATGAAGGATCTACATCCTCCAAAGGCTCTTTTCATTACAGCTGATCTGGGGTTTGTTTTCACAACACAAAACGTATGAGCGATGTAGCTAGTACACAGTGGAAAACAGTACACAATACACATGCAAAATAAAATACAAACAGAAACTGTGGCGATTTGTGAAATAGGGTGACTTTAACAACAAGAAACTTTGTTGAATTGCAATATTTAACTGTTGTGTTAATTTTTATTGATTTGTTTTGAGGCATAAAACTTTCGCACATCTGAACCACTCTAAAACTTCACAGACAGTTCATGCACGCAAAAGTTTATCGTGTAATCAGGGCCTAGAACAAATACGAGGGTAAAGTGCACATATGCCCCTAAATTTTAACTCCAGGGCCCCAAATTTTAACATCAATTTTTAAAAAACCATAATTTCTACAAATTAAACAGGTGCCCAGTGCTTAAAACCCTAGAAATTTTGATCCAGACTCCTTTTGAAAAGAAAGTTTTAGTCCACGTCATGCTTATTGATGGTATATATGCCCAATTGTAAGTGATAATAGACTAACTTGACCTGTGCATAATTCGATGGACCTTCACCAAGATAGTGATACAGCAGAAAAATTGAATTGATATCTAAAATTGAAACTTACTGGATTCTTTGATATCTGCAACTGTAGAATGTGCTTCTTGGGTAGGGTCCTGCACTTCATCTGTGTCTGCTGAGAAAATGAAAAAATTAAGAAAAGTAGAATAAATGCCAGCCATCTATAATGCTCTGTTTTCAGACAAGTAAACATGAGTTTTATTTATTTATTTATTTATTTATGCATGTTCACAATTTCACAATTCATTGAAGTTAACATCACATGAAAATTAATATAAGATGACAAATCATTTTCAATTTTACAATACATTTGAATTAACTTCACGTGAAAAAGAATATAACATTGTTTTATCAAAGACAAGTTGCAACTTATATACAGTTTGAAGAATGAACACACAAAGGTGAAGAAACATAAGCAAATAGAGCTTGAATCAGTACTTTCAAATATATAATATATGACAAATAAAATTCCTAAAGTTTTGTAGTGAACTATTTACACTATTTACAAAGTTTTAAAAAAAGAAAGAAAAAAAGAATTTCTGTAAGCCTCGTAACAAAATTATGTTAGATTTAATTAGAACTGATAAATAGATTATAATGTAAGTAATATCTTACATCTGTGAAATGATAATATGTTTGAGTGCTCTTTTAAAAGAGTTTGTTGATTTTATATTTCGAATATCATTAGGTAAAGAATACCATACATCTGGACCTCTGTGTCTGATTGATTTTTGGGCTAATGTAGTGTGAGGATTGACCACATGTAAATTCGATGACTGCCTTGTTGAATACGAATGAACCATGTTATTAGGTTGGAACATTGAAGATAATGACGTAGGTAATAATTTGATATTAAAACGGAACATAAATATGGCAATTTGGAGGAAGTTTAAATGATTAAATACTCTGGAAGTATTAGTATTCTAAAACACAGTATACACTGTTATTTTGTTCTACCAAAATTCACATCTTCATGATGACTATCACCATCACTAGCAGCATGCAGCGCCTGATGCATCATATTATTCTTATTTTTCACCGATCAACATTAACTTTCACACTTTCATTTCCACCACAATCATAACAATGATTTTAAACAATTGTACATGTATCAATATCATCATAATTACCATCATCACCAACATTACCATCAGAATCATCATTACCATCATCATCATCATCACCACCACCATCATCACCAAAAGCATCATTATCGTCATCACCACCATCATTACCACCACCACCACCATCATCACCACCATCATCATCACCACCACCATCATCATCATCATCATCATCACCACCATCATCACCACCATCATCACCACCATCATCATCACCACCATCATCATCACCATCATCATCACCATCATCATCACCACCACAACCACCACAGCCATCATCATCATCATCTCCACCACCACCATCATCATCACCATCATCACAATCAACATTATCATCTATCTCCTTACTACCATCATCATCATCATCATCACCACCATCATCATCATCATCACCATCATCACCACCATCATCATCACCACCATCATCACCACCATCATCATCATCACCACCACAACCACCACAACCATCATCATCATCATCACCATCACCACCATCATCATCATCACCATCACCACCATCATCATCATCATCATCATCACCATCATCACCACCATCATCATCACCACCATCATCACCACCATCATCATCATCACCACCACAACCACCACAACCATCATCATCATCATCACCATCACCACCATCATCATCATCACCATCACCACCATCATCATCATCATCATCATCACCATCATCACCACCATCATCATCCTCATAATCATCATTGTCATCTATCTCTCTCCTTACCAATATTCCTATCAATCCGTATGACCCCAGTAAAGAAAGCTGCAGCGAGCACAGCAGCGATGACGACAAGAGCACCCAACGTCTTCTGCCATCCTGGAGTCTCATCAATGGTTTTTTGTTTGGTTTTCCCATTTAACTTTGCAGTATCAGCTGGAAAGAACATATAAAGGGTAAGAAGATAGTGAGACAGTGTTACATAAAAGAAGTGGATTTTTTAGAATGATGTGACATTTTATGAGGATAGGATAGCACTTAAGGAGGCATATAATTAGGTAGCATGAAAAATATCAGAAAGCGATGGAACAAAGCATGCCATAGTGTGCAAACAAGTGTTAAATACAAATGATTTTGTTTCATTAGGGGTCCACATAGATAGTAGGCCTACAGGTGACCTTCTTTACAAACTTTTCTGCAGCAATATGTTATGTGCCAAAATATGTACTTACTCCCCTCATGGTCAACGTATTATAATGTATTCCATGTGGGCCGGGGAAATAACAATCATTTCTTTTTGACCTTGGCATAACATACTAGGTTATACTTCAACTGTGAGTTAAATTTATACATGGAGCTTACATGATGTAGATTCTAATACATAGTGATGGTGACAGGAACAGCACTCAGGACTTCTCTGTATAATAAAAAATCAAAGTTGAGTCTCTCATGAATGCTACATGCACTGCTTAAAAATAGTTGAGAAACAGCATTTCACTGATGCTGCACTGAATAGAGTACCGAAGCTGTGACATCATAAAAATCTATTTTGAGAATTTCTCAATTTGAACTTCATTTTTTGAAAGAGCATCAAAAATAATGTTCAATTATTGTTAACCAATTGAAAAAGGCTAAGTAGGCCTATTGGCTGAGATATGACCATCCGAATAATAGATTTCAATAGGAATCATTGTTATTTTGCTCTGGTTCATAATGTTAGATACACTACATGTACATGTATAATGATACACTGTATAAATGGTGCAGGATACTGTGTATAAATACAGGTAGCTACACACTGTATAGCCAATATGGTTGGATATATCTAAACTTGACAACTTTTCTGTTTATGATAAGAGGTCAAAGTTGATTCCTCTTTGACCCCACCTTGCACTCAGAGGCTGTTTCGAAAGACAACATGCCTCCCCAGGCATCCACTCCCCAATCTGTCATATAGAGAGATTCATCGGAGGGATAAATTAAAATCCGGCTTGATCACAATTCTGCTCAGTTCCATGTTTTTTCTCACACTCGATCATTGACGTCAGGGATCGAGCTGTAGACACATCGTTGCCCACATGAACAAACGGCTACTAAAATTTAGCAGGAAATATATTTTAAAAGTACTGTCTAGAGTTGACTAATAAGAATAATAATAATAATTTTTCCAATCAATATACATAAAGTGCAAACATAATTAATGCAATTATATTCTATTATGCCGCAAGAGTGCCTGATGTGCTTTAAAACTACAACATCAAGTTAAATGAAAAGATGTGCTTTTAGTTTCAAACTTTCGATTAAAAAGTACCTAACAATAACGATTTCCTAATTTCTAATGGTAAGTTATTCCATAATTTGGGGCCTGTAATGTATGCAAATGCTTGATTCCCAATGTTATTTTTGTTTTACCTGTATGTGGCGGGGTTTACAATAATAGAGTAAACAGCTTGGGGCTGCACATGATGTGAGTATGTAAGTAAGACAATCAACAGCATCTTGAATGATATTCTTTTGTAAAAGAGGGGTAATCCATGAGAATTAAAGGCATGTCCAAATTGATTTTTGTCTGGCCAAATTTACTTTTGTATGGCACACACAGTGCACAATCTTCAAGGCCTTGAAGCAGCATTTTTCTTGGAAGAAGAAGGAGAAGAAATTGATTTTTGTCTGGAAATAGACTTTTGTATTGCATAATGCTTTTTGTGTGAAGGAAAATCACTTCTTTGTAATTACACATGCAGGTTGTTGTTTGCATGTCTAGAGTGTATGTGGTTGGGCACAAGTGATGGAAACATTCTAGAAAACACTTTCCAGTCAATTTCATTAAATAGTAGTCATTTTCCTGATGACTATTAATCAGGTTACAGGTTACAGAACACCTATAAAACACAACAACACTTTGATGATAATTCCCCGCGATAACTCAAGAAAGGCCATCTCCATTTGAAAAAGAAAAAAAAGAACCCCAGCTTCAGAATGTAAAAATATAGGGTTGAATCGGAGGCAGGTGATCAATTGGTTCGAAACCACCGAACTTTGGGTCAAGTGCTTTAAAGATGAGATTGCCCAGATGGCTGCCAACTTGGGACACACCTGGTAAAGACCATAAAACCCTTATGATATTCCCCTCACAAAACTCATGAAAGGTTTATCATTTCCAAGATGAAAACGTTAAAAGGACCTACTTGATAATATTTTCATTAAAAAAAAATAATAGTATTTGGCAAGTGATGCATCGACCGGAATGGAAACCACCGTCCCTACAGGTCAAGTGCTTCAAAGAAGACAGACTGCCCCAGTGGCCACCAGGTTCTAAAGGTACACCTGGTACACCTGGTAAAGACCGTAACAATTTAGTTGCTCAGTAGCTAATGACATTCACAGCATGCGCTGGCTGGCTACTGGCATTCTTCAAATCGCATGGGACGGGACAACACTCACATGTTTAATAGAGGTCGAGGCCCCTTTTGTAATTAGACCAGATTCTGCCCATATTTCTTTTAATTTGCACTAAAAATAGATGCTGTAATGTTACATTATATATCCCCCTCCCCCAACCAGAAAAATTTTCAGACAGCTCACTAACAGCGTGTCCACACACAAAACAATTTATCCCGAAACTCTATAACGAAACGTTGTATAAAGAATCATTGTATAAATTTCAGAGTGTCCACACACAAGAAACATTGTATAAAATATCATCATATAAATTCCAGGATGTCCACACACAGAAGAAAGTAATCCTGAAACTCTACAGCGAAATGTCGTATAGGTGCGCAGTTTGCTACTGCGGTCATGAAATGGAAGCGGAAATGAGAGGTCTGGTCTCCTTTCGCTCGAGGTCACGTTAAGCCCCGCCCAATTAGTTACACTAGTTACACTCCCCCTGTCCACACACAACATTTTCCGTGATTAGGAGTGATTCTTTATTGAGTTTCAGTTCGAACGATGCCCAAACCTGCGAATCACGCCTAATCATGGAAAATGTTGTGTGTGGACAGGGGGTGAATGATTGCCACTGCTCGATCTCATCAAAATCATACCCAAGGTCACAATATTAAGATGCTCTGCGAGGTCAAAAGTTCACATTCATATATTCTGAGGTAATGCCTGAACCAAGTCTTTGTGAATTAGTTGTCAAATGGACATAGAGAGCAAAACCCTTTATCTCTCCGTGAGAAATGGCTGCAGTGTAGCACTCATGAGGCCCGTTTAAATAGCATTAAAAACAATTTACAAACCATAGTTCTCTTTAGAACTACCATTTACATGTACACTATTAAAAAACCCATAAAAAACCCATTTGATGATTCTTGTTTTTAGAGTGAGTTGTAACCACGCGCCATTTGTCGCTGCAGTGCATGCGTTAGCATACATGCCAACTGTTCAGATTAAAGAGGAACATTCCTCTTTTTGGGAGAAGATTATTATCATTTTAATGCAGGTGTTCCTCTTCCTGTACAAATTTGTCTGTAGTATTGAATAGGAGAGTTAGGATTGTTCCTCTTTTTTTTTTAAATAGCATAATTTGTACAGATTTCTGATTTTATGTTGGCATGTATGCGTTAGCACGGAAGAGAGGAGAGAATCACATGACCTAGACATGGAATAGTTCACCAGTCTTTTGAGCTCGAGCATTTTAATACACTGCAAAAAGCAGTGAAGTTTCGGGCGCAATCAAAAAAAAAATCACGCTCCAGAGGCGGGTTTTTTATTTAGGTGGGTCACTGGTTTATCAGTATTTGCCTAGGACCTTACAACATAACTCCGGAATGTGGGAAAAACTAACGGTTCTTCCTTGCAGTGTAAATGCAGCTATAATCTGTAGGTGTGATAAGGGTTAACAAAATAGTGTCATTTGAGACAGGTATGTTGACAGTATCACCTGTTTCAGGAACAAACCAGGAAGCAGGGATAACCGGTCGAGATGATAACAGTGTGAAGATGCCCTATTAAAGCAGCGTGAAAGGAAACCAGGTTTAAAGGAGGGTGTGTTCTGACATTTTCTCTACAGGCAGTTACTCCAGGCTTGATTTAGTTGAAAGTATAGGATTAGCGTTATGGTTGTGATTGGGTTTATGGTGAGCATTACGGTTAAAAGGCAAGTCCACTCCAATTATTACTTACTTGCAAATTCTCAAACCACAAAGATATCTATGGTTTTCTTTGAAGGCGTCGATGTGAGGCACCCTCTAACAGTGATTAACAGTAAATTCTCCTAACCATTTTTGAATTTTCCCAGATATTAACAAATTTTGGGCATCTGCTCACGCGGTCTCGCTCAGCGGCCTACAACACATGAAATCGTCGTTGAAAATGCGCTAAGTGTGCAAAGAAATGCTCCTACAAGGAAAACAAACTTTGATTACACACCATCCCGAGTGGAAATCACATATTCAAATACTGTTCTTTCCACTGATTGCAGTAGATTGCATCTACTAGACTAACATATATAATTTCCTGATTTGTTTTCTTCTTTTCGGGAGAAGAAGAGGGATGAGAGAGAGAGAGAGTTGACAAGTCACCCTTGCACAGCGGTGTTGACATTCACACTCTCACCAGTTTTCTTCGATAAACCCGTATTTCATAAAAAATTGACGAGTCCGGTACCTTGGTGTTACGCTCTAGTGCACTCGAACGTTCGTCGTTTGTGTGGGAGGTACACAAAATGCCTCATTGATCTTTTGGCCGAATGTGGGTCAAATTTGTTCATATGACCGTTTTTCCATGAGAAAAATACATAAAACAGGCTATAAAAATCTGTCAACACTTAACTGTCTGGAATGGAATACAGAGCCATTTTATTGCTTTGTGACAATTTACATTCACCTAAAATGTAATTAAATTGTCCTTGTCTTGATGCTGAACAGGCTTTGGGCGCGTTCATGCTTGATTTTGACGGCCAGAATCAGGCATCTGTTACGCGTTTAGTT